GAAGCGATTCTATCTTTGATTATCTCTTCCATATGAGGAAACCAAAAATCTAATTTGATTTTGTTGAATGTTGGTTTGAAACCAAAATGACCAGCCTCAATTGATGAGTGGTACTGTTCAAACACTTTATCGATTAAACTGTCAGGGAGATAAAAACTTGAACTTTTATCTTTGTTCTTTCTAAATAAGATTCCATCTCTTATTTCGTATTTCTTTGTTAGACGACCTTTTGCCAATTCGTCTTTTAACATTTTACAACGAGAATCACTTAACTGTTTTTCTTTTAATTCGGATTGTTTACCAATCACTGGAGTTTTAAGTTGATTCAAAAACCATCTTTCTTGTTCACTGTCAAGATAATCGAATTCACGAACTAAACCTAGAAGAATCTTCTGGGTTTCCTTCTCGATTGTTGAAGATTCTTCAACGAGTTCGATATCTTCCATGATAACATCGTCCTTGTAAGGGAACACACAATTTAAATAACGATCATAATGATCATCAGGCATTTCTCCTTTTTGTCTATGAGACCATTCATTAGACCTTGAGAAACAATCTGCCGGATGTTTTTCACCTTTTAAATATTCAACATCGAAGTCGAATTCACTTAGATCATTTTGCCATCTCATTATCCTTGTAACTTTGAATAGAGTCTTTTTCAACTCACACAGGGCATGGTGGTCAGTAACGACTGTAAATTTTTTGTGACGGAGAAAATGAGCAAATCGTCTACAAGCGTAAACAACAGCAGCACACTCTTTTTCTGTAACTCGGTAAGCATATTGATATTTCTGTAGCTTACAACCAAAGAAATATATCGGGTTCCAAATGCCATTTTCGTCTTTCTGGGTTAAAATTCCACCAATTGCGACAGCACTTGCATCCACTATTATTTTCGTTTCTCGTTCGGGGTAAAAGTGTGTTAACATACATCGTTTTGTTAACGCATCTTTTAACTTTTTCCATGATTCCAATCTTTCATCTTCGAGTGTAAATTTTATTCCTTTGTATTGTTTCTTCACTAACTCTTGAAGTGGAGCAGCAATGGAAGAATAATTTTCGACGAAGCGGGAAAAGTAATTAAAAAGACCTAAATGAGATCTTACTTGAGAATGAGAAGTTGGAGGATTAAGATTCTTAATCCTCTCAATCTTTTTCGGGTCTGGTTGAACTGTTTTACCGGAAACCAAATGACCAAGACAAACAAACGAAGTCACTCCGGCTTGTAGCTTTTCAACTCTGTTTTAAGACCATAGCTTTTCAAAGCACCAATTACCAATTTCATTCGATCACATAATTCGGTGATCGATTTACCATAAATCACAATGTCATCAAAGTACCCAAAGCAGCATGTGTACTTTAATTCACCAAGAACTTTGTTGATAACCTCTTGAAAATAAGAAGGAGCGTCTGCCAATCCCATTGGTAACCTTTTGTACCGATAGCAGCCATCCTCTGTAACAAAACTCGTTTTATCTCGTTCCTCCTCAGGTATCTCCAATTGATAATACCCTTGGGCAAGGTCTAAAGTTGTGAAATATTTATTTCCTTTTAATTTGTTGATCGCGTCGTCAATATTTGGCATTGGATATTGACGCTTTTCAACCAATTTATTTAACTCTATGTAGGATGTTACCATCCTCCATGTTCCATTTGACTTTGGTACCACGAATGCAGGAGCACCTCCTCCAACATCGGAGTTTTCAATTATATCATTATCTTTAAACTCTTTAATGATTTTTCTCATTTCTTCTTTCATTTTCTCTGATGACCTGAATGGTTTACTCTTTGGAATAGCTTTACCATTGATATCAATCTTGAATTTCGTAACTGAAGCAGGAACACATCCTAAATCATATTTGGATGAGGAAAAAGATTCTTTTTCCTCTATTAACACTTTATGGATTTGTTTTCTTTCCTCTACCGTTAACTCTGGGTTAATCTGATCGTAGAGTCTACGATTAAGATCTTTAACATCTCCAGGAAAATCATCAATTGTTTCTTGAAATGTTTCAATTTTGTTTACCAAATTAGGGTAATGATCTGGGTAAGCTTCGGTGAGATAATTAACCAAATTGATTCTTAGTCTATTTACCTCGTCGCTTCCTCTTTGAATTTCATTTGGATCTTTATTAGTTACCAGGAACAATCGATTCATATCGTATTTATCCTTGTACCAATTTTTCAATAACGACTCAATCTCATGAAGATTAGGCGTTTCAATTTCCAATTTATACGGCGTAATTAGATCTCCTTGGGTCAACTCATAAGGTTGCTTTGGACCTTTAGCACGAATGATTAATTGAGTAAATTTGATGATGTTCTCACCAATGATTATCTCATTGGATAAACCATTGATAACGTAAGCCATGATTGTAACTTGATTGTCCTTGTAAACTCTTATTGGGACAAAATATGTACTTTTGACCATTGATGAGTCAATTGATTGGAATCTTATATCAACAGGATAAGCTAAGAGACCAATCTTTGCAGCAACTGATTGACTAATTAGAGTAGTACACGCACCAGTATCAATTAAACCTTTCATCACTAGGTTTTGATTGACCTTTATATTAACAATTGGATATCTCACATTGTCAGGAACACCAATGGCATGTGAGTTTATCATTAACCTTGTTACACTAGCTTGACCTTCTTGAATTGGGTCTTCTGTGTTAACATAACTTGTTTTATTTTCACTTTTATTGTTACCTTGAGAAGTAGATTCTACTTCGGGTTTACCTAAAGCGATCCACTTCCAACATTTATCCTTTGAATGACCAATCTTATAACAACAAGGGCACCTTGGCTTTTCATATCCAGGTTGATAAGTTGTCTTTCCTTTAAGGTCACCTCTATTTGCACTTGAGGTTAAAGGTGTCTGCAGACTCTGCGGACCTTTCTCATACGGCTTTTTATTAAAGATTTTCACATTTTGATTTTCAGGTAATTTGGCAGGACTTTTATACTTTTGATAAAGACCTAACACATTTCTTTTCAATTTTTCTGTTTCCAAAACATCATGATCAGGGATTAATTCATTTTGAATTTCCTGAGGTAAAGTCATTGACATAATTAAAGCAATTGTTTTATCACAAGCATTAGGGATAACAATTTTCAGGGCAGTTTCCATTTTAACAAAATGTTCTTTTGGATTTTCTGACACATTATATTTTCTTTGTAGAAGGGTAAATAACGATTCAGTTATTTCCATCGACGTAATTGTTGATTTAATTAACTCTCTTTTCCATTCATCATATGTAATGTAAATGTTTTCGGTTTTAATTTTCTCGGCTGTTTTCCTGGTATCACCTTCCAGTATAACAAGCACTTGGTCCATCCACGTTTCTTTCGTATAATCCATAATTCTTAGATCATATTCCAGAATATCAATAAATTCAGAAAAGCTTTGCTTACCATTAGGCCATTTTCTTTTATTAACTCTAATGGAAGCCTGTTCAGCAGGTGAGATCCTTGGTGACCTGACCGGAGATTCTCTGGTCATTACCAGTGGGCTCACCATTTTGTTGTATTTGTTGTGTAACATTTGAGCTTGAGGTGTAGAGACTCCATAGTCCACCAAATTCTCCTTTGTATACATCATTAATTGATCGATATTTTTAATACCGCTTGATAGTAAAGTTGACAGTGTTTCGTAGTCACAGCCCAACCTTCTCAATGTGATACCATCTTCCCACTTATATTGGAAGTGTGTATCTAAATCCATTTTATTTAGATCGTCGACTTCAGCATCCGTCTCAAATTGTTTTTGGATCGCGATTGCCTCTACCAACTCTTTTAATAACACTTGGTTACTTTTACAATTTAGATTAGTGATACCCCATTCGGCACACTTTTCTATTAATTCAATTCTCGAAAGAGTCTTTTGAGAATCCGCCATCTTTCACTTAATGGTTTTATGGTGATTACTTTTACTCTTTACTTTTTGAAATTTTAACAGGGAAATAAGGACAGGTAATTTAAATGAATAACAGGAAGAATCTTCTTGCACCAGGTTCCTTTTTTCTTTAACACTGACACCAAAATGTACTTATCAGGACTGAATCAGCACTGATTTAAATTGTAGAGATGAAGAATCTTCAATCTCAACAACCCAACAACTCAACTTTGAAGGTCAAGTCAATTTAACCCCACTAGAGCTGTAGCATCTACGGCTCTAATATGGAAAATTAGATTTGATTTTACCAACACAATAGGCTTTAAACAAAGACAATGATGTTGGGGTGGCCACCAATTAATAAAGCTGTTTAAAGTTCACTAGATAGCGAAGGCATCTCCACCATTTTGTAAGATATCACGGGGATCAAACATTACAATTTTAAACTCAAGATCTGGTATCGTGTGAACACTTTATTGAATCAAATACTAAATAGTTAAACGGAAGTAGTTAAAGTACAAAAGTCGGAAGTTAAATGAGGAGGGGAACTGGGTTAAGATGATTAGGGGAAATTAATTAAACATGAATTTAAAGTTGAAACACAAATTAAATGAGTAAGCTTTTAATAGCTAGTACTTCTGTGTGTGCTTTTTGAAGAGTCTTCGACAAGCACCTTAAATACTAATTGTTGTGGGTTAATCCCTTGAGAGAAATGATATAATCAGAGATAAGAGGGGTTGTTAACTAATTACATCTAAACAAAGCTAATCCCCTTACAATGACAATTAGAACATAGATTTAGACTTGATTATGATTTATATCAACTGACTAATTATGGTTGATTTTTCCCACTTCTATTCATTCTTTCTGTATTAACTAACAAAGATAATAACTCGAAATTATTAATATCAAACAGATTTATATTCTCAATTCGGAATATTCCTCAACCAATCTTCAATTGAAATCTTTAAAATCAACAATAATCACAATCAAGATGAGCGCCATTGAAGTTACCCTTTCCTGTCAACGGAGGCATAAAGCACAAGAAACTATCAGCTGGTTTTAGAGGGAACCGAGTAAATTTAAAATTTTTGCTTGTCTCTTTAAATTGATTTCAAGTGAATTATGTCAATTAACAAACTACCAAACGAGTGTCTCTATATGATTTTGGACCATTTCAATGGATTCGAAGAGTTGATCCGATTGTCCAAAGGTAAGATCGAGATTAAGTTTAAATTTAATTTCTATTGATTTTTCAGTCTCTCCAAGATGGTTCCTGGTCGTTTCGCTGAAGTTAAGCAAAGTTAAATATCTTCAATTGATGGATAGTAAGTAAACTTCCACCTGATTGATTCTTGATTCTGACTGACTCTTAATTTGATTGTTTCTAATTTCAGGATACAAAAGAGCTCAGGACTACATTGAGCATAACAAACTTTGGAAAAACACTACAGAAACTTTGAAAAGTCACAATTTAAGTGATTTATTTCCGAATCTGAAGGTAATTGATAAAGTGCGTTTTTCCACCAGAAAAATACTTAGTTTCTAATTCTATCGATTCATTTTTTATATAGATTGTGGAAGTTCCGTTGCATTTTTTTGTTTCTCTTGAATCGTATACTTTTAGAAGATTGATAAACGAACATCCAAAAATAAAAGGATTGATTGGACTTTATGAACCTGTTGAGAACAAGTATAACTTGGAAAATATCGAAATGATTTCATCAGATTTCAAATTCGAATTCAAAAAAGTCTTTCGACCTGCTCAGTTGAAACAAATTTGCTTCAAAGGAATATTGCTCTTATCTGAATTTTCTCAATGTATCGAGTACTTTCCGAATTTGAAACGACTTCACATAAATTCCTTCTATCACGGTATGTTAACACCAACTTAATTTTTAAATGTTCTAATTCTTTCATGTTTTAAATAGACATAAAAAAATATGATGGTCCAAATTTGTCCACTTTAAAGATCCTTGAAATTCCACCTGGTAATCTTGGCACTGGATTTCGTATTATGGATTCCTGTCCGTGTTTAGAAAGCGCATTCATATATTCTGGTTACTTTCAGTCTAATATTATTGACGATTCAATAAAAAATTTCAATCTAAGAGATTTGGTTATCGAACATGTAAGTGACAATGAAAAATTCTCATTTGATTCACTTTCTCGTTTTGATTCTTTCTACCTCCAGCCTTATACATGTGAGTTTACCTTGGAACTTTTACGGAAAATCTGCACAAAATTCCCGAATTTACATCATCTTGGAATCAGAGGCTACGAAGTTGATGATAGTCATGTAGAACTAATGGTTAAACTATTACCAGAATTAAAACTGATCGACTTGAGGAAATGTAAGAAAGTGACCCAAAGACCGGCTCATTTTCTGTCTCAATTCTGTGAAAAATCCGATCGATCGGTTAAAATCTTTTATGATTGTGAGAAGGAACCACTTGAATGGCCTAAATTGGACACTACTCACGAATTAATTGTCTACGGATTCGATTTCATGAAAAATTGTTTCTATAAAACTTGGAATTCACTTCCAGATTTGATTGATGAAGACAAATAAAATTTCTAATTAAATTGATGTCGAATTTATCAGAAAAATACAAATTGTAATAACAAGTTTCCAAAGACAATCAACAAAATAATCATTCCAATTGCATACAAATTGATGGTTTAAACTCTAGACAATTATAGTTGATTAATAAAATATACGATTGAGCATCTATCATGTTTCGAGGTGAAAGACGAAGTTCATTTTTAATCTCAATATTTTCTGTACGAATTGATTATTGCGAAAACTCATCATGTTAATATTTGAAATATTATATTTCTATTTATCATATTCTTCATGAAGCTAAATCTATTGGTTATAAAGATTCTGCTCTAATCTAATTAAATCCAATATTCGATTTTTATTCATTCGAAAAAAGCGCTTTATCTCAATAGTTAATCAGCTGTTCTTCACGAGGGAAACTAATTTTGCTGATTAATCATTAATGTAGTGAATTTCAATAAATTAAAAATCAATCCTAAATTAGGATTCCTAATTGAATTATAACCATGTCATTAAACGATTTACCTGATATTTGTCTTTGGAAGATCTTTGAAAATGTCCATGAGGCCAAAGAATTGATTCGATTGTCTAAAGGTAAGATTAAGATTCCGTTTAGATAATGAAACTCTAATGCTTATTTACTTTCCCTTGATTCTAAAGTTTGTTCGAGATGGTCCGATTTAATTACGCCGAGATTTAATCGAGTGAAATATCTTCAAATGATATATATTACAAAACCATGTAAATATGGTTGTAAGTTAATTTCTCATTAATCGTTTCATTATTTTATTAATACTTGTTCCCAATTTTTTTAGGCGAAAAGAAAGTTGATTATATTGATGCGAACAGTTTGTGGATGAATGAGTATACGAATTGGAATGATTACAATTTATTCCAATTGTTTCCAAATCTTAAGGTAATTAATGAATTTTATCAAATCAAAATTATGTTGCTTTCTATTTGTTTTTTAATTCGATGTTAGATTATAGATGCTTCGGCCTTATTGGGAAGTTCATCTTACAATTCACCAGAAATTGTCAAAAATAATCCACAAATAAAGGGATTAGTAATTTGGGATGACTTCGAAAACAGTTATGACTTTGCAAATATCGAAATGTTCGCTGCTGTTTTTGATTTCGATTATAAAAAAGTTTTTCGACCTGATCAGTTGAAACAAGTTTACTGCGACTTTCTTGATATGAATGATGTTCCTTCATTTATTGAATATTTTCCGAATTTGAAGCGACTCCACATAAAACCCGATAAAGGTGAGATTGAAATTTGAAATAATCTTAAGATTGTTACATATGATAAATATTAATATCTTTTTACGATTTATAATAGCGAATGGCGTTTTTTACAATGGACCGAATTTGTCTTCGTTAAAGATTCTTGAATTTGTTGTAGGCCAGTTTGTTGAACAATTCACCGGATTTCATTTCATGGATTTTTGTCCATCTTTGGAAAGCGTTTTCTTCACTTGTTGGGCAAAGGATCTTTATGTAAATGAATCGATAAAGAATTACAATCTAAGAGATTTGGTTGTCGGTAGTGTAAGTCAATCATCTAGCGATGAATGTTTATAAGATTTTATTTTACTTCTTTTTCTTTCAGATTCCTTCTCGTAGTTATCCGTGGCCACTATTTAAAAAACTGTTGTCTAAATTTCCTAATTTACATCATCTAGCAATCAGACATTTTTTTAAGTTTGATGATAGCAGTTTAAGAGAATTGATAAATTTATTACCTGAGTTGAAGATATTGGACTTGAGAGTATTTAGTAGAAAGGTGTATAAAAAAGCTGAAAAAGCTTTTCTTTCCAAATATTGTGTCAAAGAGAATCGATCAATTGTAATTTATTACAATTGTGAAAACGAACCTACCGAATGGCCTAAATTGGTGGATACTTACGAACCAATTTGCTATGGATTCGATTTCATGAAACATTGTTTCTACAAACAATTCAGTTACCTTCCAAATCTCATTGATGAATAAAAATCAACTGACTTGAATGTATCAAAATGTTAACTAAATTACAATGTTGATTATTCGCTATAAGTCTTGTTAAATATCTGCATTGTATTTAAAATAAATCACATCACAACATTAATATAAATATTTTCTTGTTCCATTTCTCACCAATTGATGAAGTTTCTTTTTATTATTTGGGAACATAAAATAAATCGAGATTGAAACAGATTCGCTTCAGACGATCAGAAAGTCGTTCTACTTAGTCCTTTAGTCAAATGCGACATTCATAATACTCATTAAATCTATTCAATTACATAATATTTATTTAAAGTGAACTCGCCATGGAAACTTTTAAAAAAAAGCGCTTCTTTTCAGCAGTTTTTCAGCTGTTCTTTTAGTGGGAAATTAATTTTGAAATTAATGATAAGCTATCGACATTTCTTGAAGTTTCCAAATCAATCATAAGTGAATTATAATTGTTAATTATGTCATTAAATGATTTACCTGATAACTGTCTTAGTAAGATCTTAGAAAATGTCCGTGAGGTTGAAGAATTGATTCAATTGTCTGAAGGTAAGATTCAGATTCAGCTTGTACAATGAAATTTCAATTCTAATTTACTTTCCCTTGATTCTAAAGTTTGTTCGAGATGGTCCGATTTAATTATGCCGAGATTTAATCAAGTAAAATATCTTCAAATGATGTCTGGTAAGTTAATTTCTAGTTGAACGATTTATGATTTTAATTATTATTCTTTTAATTATGAGATGAACAAGTTGATTATATCGATAAGAGCCGTTTGTGGATTAACTATGATACGACCATAAGTGATTACAATTTGATGAATTTTTTTCCAAATCTAAAGGTAATCAATGAATTTTTTAGATTAAAATGATGTTACTAATTATCTTTTAATTTAATGTTAGATTATTGAGGTTTCGCCTTTTGCCTGTCTTAGTCTTCGATCTTATAATTTGACAAAAATGATCAACAATAGTTCAAAAATAAAAGGATTGATTGGACTTTATGAGCCGTTTGCGATAAGATTTAACTTGGAAAATATCGAATTGGTTTCATCAGATTTTCAGTTCCAATTCAAAAGAATCTTCCGACCTGATCAGTTGAAACAGATTCGCTTTAGACGAATACGCTTGTCAAGACTTTCTCAAATTATCGAATACTTTCCGAATTTGAAGCGAATCAGCTTGACACTTCGTAATGGTACGTTCACATCGAATTAATGTTTGAAATGTTCTAATTTCTTTTTTTTGTAAAGACACACAAACAAATTACGATGGTCCAAATTTGGTTGGTTTGAAGATACTCGAATTAAAACTAAAGTTTCCTGACTCGTTTGGGTTTCATCTTATTGATTCTTGTCCATTTCTAGAAAGTTTATTCTTCTATTATAATGGAAGTGATCTTTATGTAGACGAATCGATGAAGAATTTCAATTTAAGAGATTTGGTTATCTATAATGTAAGTCACTGAATGAAAAATTCGCATTCGATTAATTTTTTTCTCTAATTATTTCTATCCAAAGGCTCTTTTTTTACCTGGCCATTAATGCGAAGAGTTTTGTCCAAATTCCCAAAGTTACATCATCTTTCAATTAGATACAGTAAAGAGATTGACGATAATCATGTGAAAGAATTGGTGAAAATTTTACCCGAAATAAAATTGTTGGATTTGAGAAGATCAAAAGGAGTAACTTCACAATCAGCTGATTATTTGAACGAATTCTGTCTCAAATCTCGTCGATCCATTGAAATCTATTATGATTGTGAAGAGGAACCAACTGAATGGCCTAAATTAGGAATACCCAGAGAACCAATTGCTTACGGATTCGATTTCATGAAACATTGTTTTTATAAGAATTTTTCCTCCCTTCCGTTTCTGATTGATGAATGAAAATCTCACAATCCTTGAAATCTTGCGAGAACTTTTCAGCCGATGAGACCAAGTGTTACAAGCAAAAATGGATAAATTTTCGTTAATAATTAGTATTCATACTATATCGACTCAAGCTGATGACTCAGTCACTTCAACAATCGACTGACTTTAATCAATCAAAATGTCAACCAAATCATGATGTTGATTATTTACTGCAATGTAATATTCCCACTTGAGTTGTATTTTTTACTTTTTTACATATTAATACATTATACATATTTACATGTATATCTACTTGGCAATTAAAATCATCTCAAATTACTCAAATTATTTTCTCTATTTCATCATACGAACTGATAGAGTTACTATTATTGTTTGGCGCATTTGAGCATTTGAAACACAACGTCACTAAAAATGATGAGGGGGGAAAGGAAGTGAAAATAATGCTACCATGAAATTCAATAGATTCATGGGGGAAAAATGTTAACATTTTTCTTCTTTTCAATTCATTCTTAAGATAAATAATTCTTGTTGGATATTAATGATAATAGAATACAATGAGTGTCAGTCTCACCATCGTAATAGAAGATCATTCAAACATCATCTTTTCGAATGAGTCTTGAACTTTACAGGAATCGAAACTCTTCCCACCTTTAGAATGAATTGATTTCAAGTGAATTATTTAAATTAATGATCTACCAAACGAGTGTCTTTATATGATTTTGGACCATTTCAATGGATTAGAAGAAAGTTTGTGAAAGGAACCAAATTAATGGTCTAAATTGGACACTACTCAGTAATTAATTAACTACGGTTTCGATTTCATAAAACATTGTTTTCACAAAACCTGAAATTACTCCCAGATTTGCTCGATGAAGATAAACAAATTTCTAATTAAGCTGAAAGTTAATTAATCCAACATAATAACAATTGAAATTGAAAAATTGAGAGTTTCAATTGTATGAGAAAGAAGAAGATGAAAAAGTAGGAGGAGGATGAAGATGAAGACGAGAGAGCGAGAGAGAACAGGGGAAATGTTTCAAGTATAAGGAAAAGTAAGACAAAAATCCTGAACTGGTTCTGATAAGCTGAACATTTCGAATTGGAATATAAATCCAATTCGAAATTAATAATTTATCGTTTTGAAAGAAGTTTATGCTTAACCAAAGATCACGAATCGATAATTAAGAGATGACCGGTTTTCATATGAGAGCGCATCGAGCTTCGATGTCCACTTCTATTCATTCTTTCTACATTAACTAACAAAGATAATAACTCGAAATTATTAATATCAAACAGATTTATATTCTCAATTCGGAATATTCCTCAACCAATCTTCAATTGAAATCTTTAAAATCAACAATAATCACAATCAAGATGAGCGCCGTTGAAGTTACCCTTTCCTGTCAACGGAGGCATAAAGTACAAGAAACTATCAGCTGATTTTTAGAAGGAACCGATTAAATTTAAAATTTTTGTTCATCTCTTTAAATTGAAATTTTCAAATGAATTATGTCAATTAACAAACTACCCAACGAGTGTCTCTATATGATTTTGGACCATTTCAATGGATTCGAAGAGTTGATTCAATTGTCCAAAGGTAAGATTAAGATTAAGTTTAGATGATGAAATTTCAATTCTTATTTACTTTTCCTTGATTCTAAAGTTTGTTCGAGATGGTCCGATTTAATTACGCTCAGATTTAATCAAGTAAAATATCTTCAAATGATGTCTGGTAGTAAGTTAATTTCGTATTGATCTGTTTATTATTTTATTAATTCAACTTTTATTCAACTTTTTTAGAAAAAAGTGAATTTGAATATGGTAGGTACAGGTCGTCGATACCCGAGGATGCGTATATGATTACGTATGGTAAGTTGCTTTCTCATTGATCGGTTCATTATTAATACTTGTTTCCAATTTTTGCAATCGAAGATGAAGTTGATTATATAAATGCGAACAGTTTGTGGATTAATCCTAATACGAATTGGAATGATTATAATTTATTCGAATTGTTTCCGAATATTAAGGTAATTAATGAATTGTTTCGAATCAAAAATATGTTGCTTTTTAATCGTTTTTTAATTTGACATTAGATTATAAACACTGCGTCCTTGCGTCCTTATGAATCTTACAATTTACTAGAAATTGTCAAAAATAATCCACAAATAAAGGGATTAATCGGTATGGATCACTTACATAAAGATGGTTACTTGGAAAATATCGAAATGTGCGCTGCAGAATTTAATTTCGATTATAAAAAAGTTTTTCGACCTGATCAGTTAAAACAAGTTCGCTGCTACGATTTTCATATGAAAGATCTTCCTTCATTCATTGGATATTTTCCAAACTTGAAGCGACTCAACTTGCGACTCTATAAAGGTGAGATTCAAATTCAATTAATCTTCCGATTACAGTCAAGTACCTGAAATTGTCCGTACCCAAAACTGTCCACCGATCGTAGCTCCATCTTTCTAATTGGAACTAACCCCCATTGAATTAATTATCAATAATTATCATTTTCACGACAATTTCTGATTGTTTAGAGGATTAGTTCAAGTAAAATATTTTTTTGATCAAAATTATTGATTAATTTTCACCCCTTTCAAATCGCCCGCTCTACGAAAAACCCGTACAAAAAGTGGACAATTTCAGGTACTTGACTGTATTTCATATGATTAATATCTTTTAGGGTCAGGAAAAGGGTTAGGATCTAACGGTGTTTTTTACAATGGACCGGATTTGTCTTGTTTAAAGATTCTTGAACTTATTACAAGCGATTTGGTTGGAAAATTCACCGGATTTCATTTCATGGATTTTTGTCCCTCTTTGGAAAGCGCTTTCTTCCATTGTCGGGCAAATGATGTTTATATAGATGAATCGATAAAGAATTACAATTTAAGAGATTTGGTTATCTTAGATGTAAGTCAATCATCGAGTTTATAAGATTATCATTAATTGTTTTCTTTAGTTTCAGTTCGGTAGTTTTTCGTGGCCACTACTTAAAAAACTGGTGTCTAAATTTCCTAATTTGCAACATCTAGCAATCAGATATATTGCTGAGCTTAATGTTAGTAAATTTCATTTAGATGAATTGATAAAATTATTACCAAAGTTGAAAATATTGGATTTACGGGTATCTAATACATTCAGATCGGCTGATTTTCTGTCCAAATATTGTGTCAAAGAGAATCGACCAATTGAACTATATTACAGTCGCATAAATGAACCCACCGAATGGCCTAAATTGGCGGAGACTCGCGAACCAATTTGCCGTGGATTCGATTTCATGAAACATTGTTTCTATTACAAAACAAGCGACTATCTTCCAGATCTCATTGATGAATAAAAATGTTAACTAAATCACAAGGTTGATTATTCACTACAGTAGTGATTTCACTTAGAGCAACAACGAATTCATAGTCTACCCCTAGCAGATTAGTGTAATTAGGCTTGGAAAAGGTAAAAGTTTAGTTCACCTTTTTTTTTTATAAGAAATTAACCTTTGTGGTTATGTAGAAGGCGCTGAAATTTGCTCTAAGTGAGACCACTACTGTATAAGTTTTGTTAAGTATCCATATGGTAATTAAAATAAATTGGTTAATCATATCACAATATTTTCGTCATTCTTTTTCTTACCAATTGATATTGAGTTTATTAATAAAATATACGATTGTGCATCTATCATGTTTCGAGGTGAAAGTTGAAAGTTAATTTTTTATCGTCTTATGGACGAATAGATCGCTTTCGTTAATTATTTTTGGTTAATTCGAGCAACTTACAGTGTTTCCCGATTGAAGAAACCAAAACGACTTTTAATTGTGATTGATTAAGTAATTCTAAGTCGAAATTAAATTTAAATCACATGTATGATGATTTTGAATATGAAACTTCATTTCTAAACAGATTTTCGCTCTAAAATTAATAATCAAAAAATGAAGGTCCGAAGTCTCGTATCATTGATTTCGATTGGTATACGAGTAAAACCATTGGGGTTTCTTCAAATGAAAACTTGGTTTCTTCAATCGGGAAACACTGTATATTCTTCATGAAGGTAAATCAATTGGTCATGAAGATTCTGCTCTAATCTAATTAGATACGATATTCGATTTCTATTCATTCGAAAAAAGCGCTTTGTCTCAATAATTAATCAGCTGTTCTTTTTAGGGAAACTAATTTAAAATTAGTAATTTTTCTGATTAATCATTAATGTTGTTCAATTTCAATGATAAAATTTCGTCATTTCTTCAAGTTTACAGATCAATTATACGTGAATTGTGATTTTAAATTATGTCACTAAACGATTTACCTGATATTTGTCTTTGGAAGATCTTCGAAAATGTCAATGCAGTCGAAGATTTGATTCGATTGTCTAAAGGTAAGATTAAAATTCCGTTTAGATGATTAAATTTTAAAACTTCTTTACTTTTCCTTGATTCTAAAGTTTGTTCGAGATGGTCCGATTTAATTACGTTGAGATTTAGGCGTGTGAAATATCTTCAAAAGGTGGAGATTTATAGTAGTAAGTTAATTCCTAATTGATCCATTCATTATTTTATTAATACTTGTTTCCAATTTTTTTAGGAGAAGTTAAAGATTATATTGATGCGAACAGTTTGTGGATTAATCATAATACGAATTGGAATGATTACAATTTATTACAATTTTTTCCGAACTTTAGGGTAATTAATGAATTTTTGCAAATCAAAATTATGTTGTTTTCTAATTGTTTTTTAATTTGACTTTAGATTATAGATACTGCGACCTATAGTTACAATTCATCTTTAAATTTACCAGAAATTGTCAAAAACAATCCACAAATAAAGGGATTGATTGGACATTTTAATTCATTAATAAAAAGAGAAGATTATGACTTGTCAAATATCGAAATGTTCGCTTCAGAATTTAATTTCGATTATAAAAAAGTTTTTCGACCTGATCAGTTGAAACAAGTTTTCGGCAGCTTTATAAATAAGATTGATCTTCCTTCATTCATTGAATATTTTCCAAACTTGAAGCGACTCCACATGCAGTTCTATAGAAGTAGGATACAACTTCAATTAATCTTTCGATTGTTTCTCATGATTAATATCTTCTTACGTTTTTTATTTTAGAGGACCAAGTTTTTTACAATGGCCCGAACTTGTCCGCGTTAAAGATTCTTGAATTTGGTAGAATCGATATGGTTGGAAAATTCACCGGATTTCATTTCATGGATTTTGTCCATCTTTGAAAGTGTCATCGGTTACTGGGCAGAGGATATTTATGTAAAAGAATCGATAAAGAATTACAATCTAAGAGATCTGGTTATCCAGAATGTAAGCTAAATCATTGAGTTATAAATGTTTATAAAATTTTATTTGATTTCTTTTTAAATGTTTATAAGATTATCATTAATTTTTTTCTTTAGATTCGCTTTGGTTGTTTTCTGTGGCCACCTCTTAAAAAACTGGTGTCTAAATTTCCTAATTTACAACATTTAGCAATCAGAAAGTTTGATAAACTTGATGTTAGCCATTTTGATTTAGAAGAATTGATACAATTAATACCAAAGTTGAAGATATTGGACTTGAGAGGATGTAAGAAAGTGACGCACAAATCAGCTGATTTTCTGTCCAAATATTGTGCCAAAAAGAATCGATCAATTGTAATATATTACGATTGTGAAAACGAGCCCACCGAATGGCCTAAATTGGTAAATACTCGCAAACGAACTTGCTATGGATTTGATTTCATGAAACATTGTTTTTATAAGAATTTTTTCTCCCTTCCGTATCTGATTGATGAATGAAAATCTCACAATCCTTGAAATCTTGCGAGAACTTTTCAGCCGATCAAACCAAGTGAAACAAGAACAACGGATAAGTTTTTGTTAATACTTAATATTCATACTATATCGACTCAAGCTGATGACTCAGTCACTTCAACAATCGACTGACTTTAATCAATCGAAATGCCAACCAAATCATGATGTTGATTATTTACTACAATGTAATATTCCCACTTGAGTTGTATTTTTTACTTTTTACATCTCTCATAATTAAAGGTATCATATCACATTTAATTGTATTATAATTATTTTCTGTAATTATTTCATTTCTTATTATTGTTTGATGAAACAAAAGCATATGACACATAAAAACGTCGAAAGAGACGATCGAAAAACGGTGAAAAACACTCATTTTGTCTTATCCAAAAAAAGCGCTTGTTCTTAGTAATTAATCAGCTGTTTATCGAGTGACTTCACTCCTTTCAAATTACTACCTCAACATTTCTACACGTTTTTAATTAAAGAAGTGATTTCACTTAGAGCAACAACGAATTCATAGTCTCCTCCTATCGGGTTAGTGTCATTAGGCTTGGAAAAGGTAAAAGGTTAGTTCACCTTTTTTTATAAGAATTTAACCTTTTTGGTTATATAGAGGGCGCTGAAATTTGCTCTAAGTGAGATCACAACTGTATTAATTAGTGAAATTATACAATTATAATTATGTCATTTAACGATTTACCTGATATTTGTCTTTGGAAGATCTTCGAAAATGTCCATGAGGCCAAAGATTTGATTCGATTGTCTAAAGGTAAGATTCTATTAAGATAGTTAAATTTTAAAACTTATTTACTTTTCCTTGATTCTTAAGTTTGTTCAAGATGGTCCGATTTAATTACGCTTAGATTCAATCGAGTAAAATATCTTCAAATGATGGACGTTAATAGTAGTAAGTTAATTTCTCATTGATATGTTCATTATTTTATTAATACTTGTTTCGCATTTTTGTTGTCGAAGATAAAGTTGATTATATTGATGCGAACAGTTTGTGGATGAATGAGTATACGAATTGGAATGATTACAATTTATTCAAATTGTTTCCAAATCTTAAGGTAATTAACGAATTTTATTAAATCAAAATTATGTTGCTTTCTAATTGTTTTTTAATCCGACGTTAGATTATAGATACTGTGGCCTTTGATTATCATGCATCTTTTAATTTACCAGAAATTGTCAAAAATAATCCACAAATCAAGGGATTGATCGGTATGGATAAATTACGTAAAGATGGTTACTTGGAAAATATCGAGATGTGCGCTGCAGAATTTAATTTCGATTATAAAAAAGTTTTTCGACCTGATCAGTTGAAACAAGTTTGCTGCTTCCGTTTTCACACGAATGATCTTCCTTCATTCATTGAATATTTTCCAAATTTGAAACGACTTAACATCGAACCTCGTGAAGGTGAGATTCAACTTCTTTTAATCTTGTTAACCGATTGTTTAATATGATTAATATCTGTTTAGAGTCAATTGTATCGGACGGGGTGTTTTACCATGGACCGAATTTGTCTTCGTTAAAGATTCTTGAACTTGGTACAAACAATTTTTTTGAACAATTCACTGGATTTCATTTAATGGGGTTTTGTCCCTCTTTGGAAAGCGCTTTCTTCCACTGTTGGACACAGTATATTTATGTAGATGAATCGATAAAGAATTACAATCTAAGAGATCTGGTCATCGAGAATGTACGTCAATCATCGAGTGATAAATGTTTTTAAGATTATTGTTGATCTTTTTCTTTTATTCTTTCGATTCAGACTGGGCTTTTTTCGTGGTCATTACTACAAAGAGTACTTTCCAAATTTCCTAATTTACATCATCTTGGGATCAGAGGTATTCGTAAAATTAAATACAGTAATTTAGAAGAATTGGTAAAATTATTACCTGAGTTGAAGATATTGGACTTACGGAAATGTAAGAATGTGAACCACAAATCAGCTGATTTTCTGTCCAAATATTGTATCAAAGAGAATCGATCAATTGTAATTTATCACAATTGTGAAAACGAACCCATCGAATGGCCTAAATTGGTGAATACTCGCGAACAAATTGTCTACGGATTCGATTTTATGAAACATTGTTTTTATAAAACTTTCAATTCTCTTCCAGTTCTCATGGATGAATAAAGATCGACTGACTTGAATGAACAAAAAAGTCCAAATAAATCACGAGGCTGATTATTCATTATATGTTTATTAAGTATCTGCTCAGCAATTAAATTCATCGTAGTACATTGTATTATAATTATTTTCTTTATTTCATTTCTTACGAACTGATATATTTACTATTATTGTTTGGGAATAACAAAAGCATTTGACACATAGAAACGTCACCAAAAATGATGAGGGGAAAAAGGAAGTGAAAATATCGTTACCATGAAATTCAATAGATTCATGAAGGAAACATGTTAACATTTTTTCTTCTTCTTTCTAATTCATTCTTAAGATAAATAATTCTTTTGGATAATATCATCTAAGGTTCAATAATACTTGTAGAATACAATGAGTGTCAGTGTCACCATCGTAATAGAAGATCATTCAAACATCATCTTTTCGAATGAGTCTTGAACTTTACAGGAATCGAAACTCTTCCCACCTTTAGAATAAATTGATTTCAAGTGAATTATATAAATTAAAAATCTACCAAACGAGTGTCTTTATATGATTTTGGACCATTTCAATGGATTAGAAGAAAATTTGTGAAAGGAACCAAATTAATGGTCTAAACTGGACACTATTCAGTAATTAATTGTCTACTGATTCGATTTCATGAAACATTATTTTTATAAAACCTAAAATTACTTACGGATTTGCTTGATGAAGGTAAATAAATTTCTAATTAAGCTGAAAGTTAATTAATCCAACATAATAACAATTGAAATAACGAGTTTCCAAAGCGAGTCAAGAGATTAAAACACGATTGAGCATCTATCATGTTTCGAGGTGAAAGATGAAAGTTAATTTTTGATCAAATTTTACGGATTGGTCATTGCGATAACTCACCATGTTAATATTTCGAGATACTCTTAATGAGGGTAAATCAATTGGTAAAAAGATTCTGCTCTAATCTAATTAAGATCCGATATTCGATTTCTATTCATCCGAAAAAAGCGCTTTGTCTTAACAATCAATCAGCTGTTCTTTACGAGGGAAACCAATTTTGCTGATTAAATTAATCATAAGATATCATTTTAATGATAAGACTCATCAGATAAGTTATCGTCATTTCTTTAAGTTTACAAATCAATAATGTCATTTAACGATTTACCTGATAATTGTCTTTGGAAGATCTTCGAAAATGCCAATGGGGTCATAGATTTGATTCGATGGTCTAAAGGTAAGATTGAGATTCCGTTTAGACGATGAAATTCTAATGTTTATTTATTAATAATTTCACTTGATTCTAAAGTTTGTTCGAGATGGTCCAATTTAATTACGCCTAAATTAAATCGAGTAAAATATCTTCAATTGATACATAGTTGTAAGTTAATTTCTCATTGATTTGTTCATTATTTTTTTAATACTTGTTTCCAATTTTTGCAATTGAAGATGAAGTTGATTATATTGATGCGAATAGTCTGTGGATCAATCATGTTACGAATTGGAATGATTACAATTTAATCGAATCGTTCCCGAACATTAAGGTAATTAATGAATTTTCAAAACCAAAATTATGTTGCTTTCTAATTGTTTTTCAATTTGAATTATTGTTTTAGATTATAAATACCGCGTCCTTGCTTCCTTATAAATCTTACAATTTACCAGAAATCGTCAAAAACAATCCACAAATCAAAGGATTAATCGGTATGGATAAATTACGTAAAGATGGTTACTTGGAAAATATCGAGATGTGCGCTGCAGAATTTAATTTCGATTATAAAAAAGTTTTTCGACCTGATCAGTTGAAACAAGTTCGCTGCTTTTATTTGCATCCGAATGATCTTCCTTCATTCATTGAATATTTTCCAAATTTGAAGCGACTTAACATAGAACTCAATAAAGGTAAGATTCAACTTGCGATAATCTGCCGATAATTTCATATGATTAATATCTTTTAGGGTCTTATGTAGCGGACGGCGTTTTTTACAATGGACCGAATTTATCTTCGTTAAAGATTCAAAGTACAACCAATTTTTTTGACCAATTCACTGGATTTCATTTTATGGATTTTTGTCCATCACTGGAAAGCGCTTTCTTCCGTTGTTGGGCAGAGGATATTTATGTAGATGAATCGGTAAAGAATTACAATCTAAGAGATTTGGTTATCGAATGTCATGTAAGTCAGTAGTTGAAAAATCTTACCAGATTATTATATTGTATTAACTTTTTCTTTCTATTCAGTCTAATTGTTTTTCGTGGGCAACACTACAAAGACTACTTTCCAAATTTCCTAATTTACATCATCTTAGGATCAGAGGTATCGGTGTAATTAAAGACAGTAAATTAGAAGAATTGGTAAAATTATTACCTGAGTTGAAGATATTGGACTTACGGAAATATAAGAATGTGAACCACAAATCAGCTGATTTTCTGTCCAAATATTGTATCAAAGAGAATCGATCAATTGTAATTTATCACAACTGCAAAAATGAACCCACTGAATGGCCTAAATTGGTGAATACTCGCGAACAAATTGTCTACGGATTCGATTTCATGAAACATTGTTTCTACAAAAAATTCAGTTGCCTTCCAGATCTCATTGATGAATAAAACGACCGACTTGAAATAATTTCTCAGCCACCAATTTACCACTGATTGTAACAATTGACTCCTTGAAATTCAATAACTCAAATATGTCGAACAGCTTCATGACCACTATAACAAAAATTACAGTTAAACAGAATCCAAACGTAAATAGAAAGTAATTTCAGGTCAATGTAACGGAAGCTTATGGAATAAGATTACCACGTTCTCACCACAAGCAAGACGAAACTTCTCAATATAAGACAGGTAAACAGTTACCTGAACACCAACATTGACAATTTTTTATTTGATAGCATAACCAACAATCTTTATTGAATTGTAACTCTATTGAGTCTAATTGTCATCAAGAAAAAAGTTTCAATCTCAAAGTTAAGACAATTATTCAATAATATTATATAAGTGTTAATTGGTTAACTATTAAAATGTCTAATTAATGGAACGAATCAATTAAAGTTTAATGTTAATAGAGAACTAAAATCTTTAATTATAAAGCTTTCAGATTTGATTCAAATTTGAATCTTTGAAACTCAATAACGGTAAAAGATTAACATAAAATCATCAATTCCATGAAATCAATGTTCCGCTACTTTTATCCCGGTGGATATTTCCTACTCATCCTCATTATCATCATCATTATCATGGCCAATCTTTAATGACTTTTAATCATCTTAATAATTTTCCATCATTCCGTCTGTCACCATCATCATCATTATCGTCAACCATTCAACTGTCAACCTTAAATTAAGATCACTAATCACGTCAAACGTTTTCAGTTAACTTTCTGGACATAGTTCACTGATTAATTTATCTCTCTCTCTTTTCTCTCTTCTCTCTCATTCCGTTTTGTCATCTTTTGTTCATCCTTCATCTTCATCTTTTTTCTGCTATGAAAATTTCAATAAAATCCTTTCAAATCTTTCTCATGCTAACAGTTCATTGTCTCCTTTTCATATTATCTTCAGCCTTCAACCTTAACCTCTCTTTCTCTCTCTCACTCACTCATTCATTCATTCATTCATTCATGTCATCATTTCCCATCGTCCAATTTTAGCACTAGTATCATCGTCATCACTGTTTCTACATCAGTCTCATCTAAATCCACCATCATGATAATAAACTTTACATTGTCTTGGTTCTTGTAACTTTCATCTCGGTGGTTAATTCATTCCCAGGTAAAGTTTAACGGCTATTCTTAAATGTTCAGTGTCAATTTTCTATGTGATCTTTAACTTTTCTTGTTCACGTTCTTGTTTACTAGAATCGAGTAAATTGTCGACCACCAAAAAGTCAATCAAAATCAATCAGTGGTCGATCTGGTGGAAGTTTTGAAAATTGTTATTCCAAGGAATTGTTCATCAACATGGTTCTAATTTAACTCGATCAGATGATCCGTGTGAAAGGTGCTTCTGCTACAAAGGAACAATTCTCTGTTGGAATATCAATTGTCCACAATCATTGGATCGAAAAGGATGTAAAGAGATCAAAGTTAAAGATCTTTGCTGTCCAATATTAGAATGCCGTAAGTATTGATATTAGATAAGTAAAACTTTTCGATTTCATCGAACTATCAAATTTATATAATTCTAAAGCCTTAGAAGGGAAAGATGCCGTTTTCAAGGATATTACTGGACGTCAACCACGAACTACACCAGACGAAACTTCCGAACCCTCGATTACACCTAAAGAGATCACCTGTAAATATGGACGAGAAAAATACAAACCTGGCCAGAGAGTGACCATTAACCCATTGAAACCATGTCAACGGTGTATGTGTAGTAATGAAGGTAAAGTTAAATGTGAACTTGCATCTACATGTAAAGATGAAAGTCTAATCAAAGAATTGAAAAAACAATCAAATCTAATTAGCAAAGATTCTGATCATAAAAAGGAATCAGAAAATGTTTCAAGTTTCAGCACCCGAACGATTCCCGATGCAATATTGAAAAGAGTACAAAATTTACTTCACAAAGTTTCAACTCACAATTTAACTTCAATTAATCCAAACGATTTAAACTAAAATCTAAATCAATGATCATCAAACAATCACTTTAATATAATTTACCAACAAATTAATCACAAACCTCATTTACTCAATCAAACTATCAACACTATTGTATATTTATAATCATTTTATTGGAAAACTTTTCTTCACAATCTAAATTACTGTTACAATTTTTTGACATCAACGTTAATTGTTTGATAGTAATAGATTGACACAATCAGATTGATTGAACTTCATCTCATCTAATTAATAATAAAGGTTGAAAATGACACAATCCATTATATTGAAAGTTCTAATTCGGCTAATTAAATGTCAACTTTAAATTGGTGATCATTAACTTTCATCGTACATACAAAAACCCAATGTTGACACATTTGTACTTCATGATTCTGGCCAATGGTCAGCAACGGTTAACATTTGAAATACATAACAATAATAATACACTAGACTCCATGATGACCTAATTGTCGGTGAGAAAATTAAACTTAATTAGTGAATAGTTTGAAATTTTTCTGAGAATATAATTGTTACCAGAATTAAGTTTTTAGTTGTATATCTTAATGAGCCCAGGATTGTAAAAAAGTTTCTATCAACTAAATGGTCAATGAAAAGAAGGACAATTAATTTTGATTCAACTGATGATTTAGTATAAAGTATTTTCCTTATACAATTTGAGGTTTTAATTATCTGTTAGAAATGAGAACAACAATTAGAGTTAAGCAAAAGACACTGATTGTTTCGTTCCAATTTCATTGAATCATACCTGAGATTGACCGTATATACCGATGAGAAATTGAATATAATGACCGAAAAAGGAACCGGAAATCCCACAGCAAATCATGGCCACTTTGATTGACGAAGGTATCGAGGTGAAAAAGATCAAAAATACGATGATAATATAAGCGATAAAAGTAACCAGAAAATTGAGTGAATTTTTAATACCATGGAAAAGATCACTGAATATAAATTCTTGGAAATGTTCAGTAAAATGAGTTACAATGAATCGAATCCTTTTACCGGGAATGAAATCGTCGTTCTCAATGGTCAAGGGTTCACCTTCATTCGGATGGACATTGATTGTGAGAGTTGTCACCGTGAGAAACTTGAGATACTCAATCCAAACATAAGCATAAAGGACATAAATGAAGACAAAATTTATCGAAAGTGTCATAATGTAATAACAACACCATGTATTGAGAAATAGATTAACGCTCATGGGAAAGATGAACTGCCTGGGGGCTTTGAATACGGGTAACAAACTGAGGAAGAAAAAATAAGCTGAAGTAATTAACCAAGTGTTTGCTTTAACCAATCGACGAAACTGTTTGGCCAAATCGTCAAAGTGACCCCACTTCTTGTATTGACCGGTTTCCAGGATTTCACCGATACAAAGCCAAGTTTTCTGGGCTGAACTGACCGGACACATTGTATGTGCTACAAAGTGGACTCCGTGAATACATGCAATCACACACCAGATGAAATTTAAGGTTAACAAATAGAGACGGGATTCACCTAGAAAGTGTGAAGGATCACCGAGGATTAAAATTAGATCACTGGTCGGATTAATCATAATCAATGTGGAAAATTTAATTGTGTTTACAATTAGATTGATAAGTGTTAACATTGGAAACCAATATTGACCAATGTTAGTTTTTAAATCTCCAATTGTCTGTGGTAAATGGAGTGTCTGTGAACGAAGCAGCTCATTGACACTTGACCCGAATTTTGTCACTCGAAGTGACCTTTTAATCCTTGAACTTTGGCTTGACGAAGGCATCACATCAACTAATCTCGAAGACTAATAAACTAATTCAATGTATCTTTTATTCAACAATTTCCACTAATCAACTGAGATACAATTGACTAACTCATTGGATCAATTGTAAATGTAAATAATTTAAATCTCTTGATAATTTGAGTTTGATTGTTTACTTTTGCTGTTTAATTAGATTCATTATTTAATGTTTCAAAAAGTTAATATTTGTCATTGTGATGATAATTTCGATATTGGAAATTGTATAAATTTTGAATAAATGTTTAATTTAATATTTGTGTTGATTTATTATTAAGATAATCATTAGATATTATCAACAAAGTTAGTTAACTTTTTGTTTGATTTAGATCGTTACAAGATTATTATTATCCTTGAATATAATATTGTGATAGACAAATTTATCTTCTTAATTGTAAATGTATGATCTTAACACTAAGGAGAAGGGTCGCCGAATTTTAGTTTTGAGTTAAGAGTTGAAATTTTGTGTATTTGTAGGGCCACAAATATGAAGTCCAAATATATTTATTTTTTCCTGATCTGATCAGTAGTTTTCGAGAAAATCGAGTTCGAAGTTAAAACTTCATGTCACTTTTTCTAAGCAACTATAAGTTTTTAGATCATGAAATTTTTATTTTATCGACAACTTTTCATGCCCTTACAGAAAATCAAATTTGTTTTGCTAAAAAAATATCCAAAATGCTCCGGTCACAATTCCGTTGTATTCAAATAAATGGACGGCGATTAGTCCCAAGTGCCGAGAATGATCTGAAACTTATTTTTGAGACTATCCTAGCATGGGTTAACATGGTTGATCAAGCACTTTTTTCGTTTGATCAACAGTTTTACCGGAATGAGAGAGTGGCCTTTGACCTTCGAGGCCTAATATCTCCGAAATTACAATACTTAGAGATGTCTAAATAAGTCGAATCGCTGTCATTTAACCAAGGCTATCAGGAGCAATAGTTTTTTGGCCTTAAAATACAGTCACTTTTGCTATAAATAGTTTGACAATGTTTGATGAAATAATATTTCATTGGAGCAAGCATAAAACATTTGGGTGTTTATAACTTGAGTGTAGTATAACTTTTAATTAACTTTAGTCTAAGCTAGACCATCACTTTTAAGGCCAAAAACTATTGCTTCAATAGCCTTGGTTAAATGACAGCGATTCGACTTATTTAGACATCTCTAAGTATTGTAGTTTCGAGATATTAGGCCTCGAAGGTCAAAACTCACTCATTCGAAAATGATCATCAAAAAAATGTTTGATCAACCATGTTAACCCATGCTAGGATAGTCTCAAAATAAGTTTCAGATCATTCTCGGCACTTGGGACTAATCGCCGTCCATTTATTTGAATACAACGGAATTGTGACTGGAGCACTTTGATATTTTTAGCAAAACAAATTGATTTTCTGTAAGGCATGAAAAGTTGTCGATAAAATAAAATTTCATGATCTAAAACTTATAGTTGCTTAGAAAAGTGACATGAAGTTTTAACTGAACCGATTTTCTCGAAAACTACTGATCAGATCAGGAAAAATAAATATATTTGGACTTCATATTTGTGGCCCTACAAATACACAAAATTTCAACTCTTAACTCAAAACTAAAATTCGGCGACCCTTCTCCTTAACCAGATTCTAAGTTTGGAAATTAATTAATCACTTTGATCGGTTGATTTCCACTTCTAAATAAAAGATGGCAGCATTGGTTGTTTGATCGTAACTTTAATTGTTTGTAACAATTAACTTGACCTTATGGTGAAAATATGTAATCTAATCATGGTTGATTATTATCATGATTAAATTAATCGAGAACTAATAATATTTTTGATGAAAAACCTTCAATAAGATTGGAAATAAACTTGAAATCAGTAAATTGTTACACCAATCAAATAATAGATTGAATTTATATCTTCAGGATTGATCTAAATAATAAATTAACGACTTGATTACAATTAATGAGCTCATGATTTGTAAACATTGATTAATCAGCTGAAATTAGAATTGATTTAAATCAAGATAACATCGGATGTTTAATGTTAATTGTTTATTGATCTTAATGATAATTTGAGTGATTGGATTGATTTTCCTCTTCCTGATCATAAACTTTACTTAAGTATAAATTTGTTTTTCAATTGTCATGATAATCAATATGTAAATCTAACTGACCATCAAATCAAATTGACCATTTGAACAATAAAGATAATAATATGATCATCATGATGTTTACAATGATTATAGATTGTGAAATATTGATAAAGATCAATCAAAGTTGATTATTGTTACCATAAAATAATCAGGAACCTTCAAGTTTACATGAGAATTGATTAAGAATTAAAATAATTAGGTCAATTGTAAACATATATTATGATAACAATAAAAGCTCATTGAAAATAAGCTATTAACCATTAAGTTATTATCATGATAATGGTAATGAAATGAATTAAGAGTTGTAATTGTAATAAAAGGACAAATTGTGATTGTTAAATTGTGACTGACAATCAAATTAATTGTTGGTACGAAAACAGAATTTCAAATGAAATTAACTCTATGCAAGTTCTGATTCGGTTTGTTGGGTTCCTTTTTTAGTATCTCGATGGTGGAAAATATCATTGAGATGAAGGAAAGGAAAAGGTACAAATAGAAAGAGAAATAGACACAGGATGATGAGAGGAAGGGAGAGAGAGAAAGTGGAAGATGAGGTTGTATGGTTACATGGGGAAGAGTGGGTGGGGTGTATGGAGACTTATTGATTAGGTTGGCAGAAGATGAGGGGAGAGGAGGAAGAGGAAGAGAGTTGAATCAACGATTTCCACAGATAGAGTAAGAATCTCTTCCGGGTTTCCCAAAAAACGGATCGATAAATTTACTTTCATCATGATCACCCATGAAAAGTGAGTTAATGTCACCTCAAAGATGAACATGAAAAGACTTGAGCCAGGGCGATTTAACTTGGAATTAGTGATGTTTACACAAGTAAACCAGTTGATTAACTTAATTGTCGCCGAATATTATTTTCTTAAAATACAATTGTAAATCAACAAGAATTGCTTGTTCATTCATTAATTAATATCAATTCCAGATTAGTAAAAGATTATCCCAGATAAGCAAAGATCAACACATGAACAAATTGTCAACCTATGTAACCATATGATGAATTTTTCACCAGCATAGTTGAGAGACTATTAGATTAACTTTGATATTGTATCAATTAAAATGATTAATTAGAACAGAGAATCAATGAAAGTGATCAAAAACTACGTTGATTAACATAATTAACTTCAGACATTAGACTAAAAAAAAAGGTAAACAAGTTCACTGGGTTAATAGTGATAAATCAATAACATCAATCGTGATCATGGTGATGAATATATTCACATGGAGAAACGGGAAAGATAATTTTATGAATTAAATTCAATTTTCATATCATCATGACTCAAAACTCATTCACCTAAATTTGATTAGAACAAAAAAAAACTGAATCATTTTCCTCTCAATTAACATTCAACAAAATCTTTCACTCAAATGAATTACGTTAGTATCATCTAACTCACTTCATCAAAATCATCATCATCTTTTCCTTGTCATCAGTAGAACCTTAAGTTTACTACTGTTATGTTGTTGTTGTTGTTGTTGTTGACGATGAGATGATGAGAATGAGCATCATGATGATGGAAAAGATGGTTGCTTGGATTGACCCACATTCTGACCTGGTTCTTGTTCTGAACAAAACGAACTTTTTTCTCTCTCTCTCTCTCATCATGAAACTCCTGCTGAATTTTTCTCTCCCTTTACTTACATTCAAACACTTTTCCCTTTTTACACCCCCTTCTCTCTCTCACTATCTTCCACTTCTCCCCTTACCCTCTCTCTCTCTCTTTTTCTTTCTTCCCAATCTCTCTCTCTCTCTCATTCCCTGTCTATCTTCCTCTTCCATTTTATCACTCACTCACTTACTCACTCACTTTAACCCAAAAATCGTCATCACTACAAACCTGCTCACTACGAACCCAAAGTAACATCAACAAAACAAAATAAACAATAACAATCAAACGTTTACGATATTAACTGTTCAAAGAAAAACGGAAATCAAATTAAACGACATTTTCTAGTGACATCAAATCAACGGAATAATAAACAATTAAAACAATTTAACAATCATCGAGTAAATTGATTTCAATTTACTACTACTAAGTGTGTGTGTAGTTTTTACATTGACAATTATCATTAAGTTTGACTTTCCAAACAATTACTACAACTATTCATCATTACAATAATCCTCAAAGGTGAGTCAATGTCAATCAGTTAATCCTAAAATTAACTAATTGTAGTTGTTGATTTTGATTGTAAAAACAAATGATCATCTTGCTTTCACTTTCATTTACGTTTTCCCATTCACATAAATCGTTACCCGATTAACCTTTAAACCTCCCACTCTCTACCTTTTACACCCACACCCACTTGATTCATAGATACCTAATAAACTTTAATCTTCATCAATTGTTAATGTTAATTGTTTGACATTAACACCAACTAATTAACTTGAATCAGTTGAAAATCAACACATATAAAACCTTCATTATCATTTACATTGTAGGTTCACAATCAATCTTGATAACCTTGACAATTAATTTCTTTCTTTCCTTCACTTTTTTTTCATCATAAATTATTTCTCTCTCAGTCTCTCAGTCTCTCCCTCTCTTCATCAACGATTTCATGATAATTACTAAATTGTTCATGATAAAATCATATGATTATCGGTCAGTCTTGACCTGTAAACGTCCTTGACAGTTGTAACAATTCAGGTTCACTTGGTTTTTGTGTGTTGATTGTTTGTAAATTTTACCGTTATTTCAACTCAGGTAGACACAAAATTGAATCAAAACAAAAAGGTAAAAGTTGATTAACTGATTTGTTTTAATTGTAAACTCATTTAACTGTCAATTAACTTTAACCTTTTGTGAATTTTGTGTTAATTGCTATAACTTTTTTCCAACTTTGATTACAAATTCAATTTCCGTTTAAATTGTTAACTGTTTCCTGTAACAATTGATGAAAAACAATATGATTATCATTAATTGACTTAATTGAAATTTGTAATAGTAACAATAATTATTAATTGTTCATTATATCATTCATATATATATTTGGTTTGTTTAATCATCATCACCAAGGAATTCAATTAATTTAAATTGTTTGTTGACTAAATCAATCTAAACAAGTGAAACTTGTCAATTTCAATCAGTTGATTAAAACCTGAAACAATAAAGTGATAATTGTAATTTTAATCAATCTAAATGATGATATTATTTACTATTACAATTGATGTCATTCTTGATAATCATTGACAGTTAAAAATTAATCAAATTTGGAAATTAATTAAACAGTTGATCAATTGCAATGAAAATTGATTTAAAACAGTTATCAGGTTGTAAAAAGTTAATCATAAATGAAAGTAGCAAACAATTAAGATGTTAATTAGTGGAGAGATAATGTTGAAAGTGTAAACGTGTTTAGTGACGATGACAATTATCATCATCTCTCATCAATTGTCATTTTGATAAAACAGTTATGATGATAAGATGATAACTTATTGTTATCATTGTCACTTGTAAAAGTTGAAGGATAAATTGTTATGAAAGTGGTGCAATGATGATGATGGATTAGGAGATGACGATAATTACACCATGATGATGATGATGATGGTGATGATAAAGGTGTGATCAGGTTGATTGGGTTTGCGAGCAAAGTTTCAATACAATTTTCCTTTGATTTGCTTGTCGATTTTAAACAAAGTTAATCATCACAATTAATCGTTACCTTTATAAATATTAATAAATATGTATAAATAGGGCAGCGAAACAATTTACCGATTGTTGTTGATTGATTGTCATGATGATGATAACCAGATTTGAGGAACCAGAAAACCAGAAAACCTGAATATCTGTTGTGATTTTGATTATTCGTAAGCGAAAAAATCAACAAATAATCAACTAATCACGTTGAAGGTTACGATTTGTTGTTGCTAATCTTTTCCACCTCGATAACCTGTTCTTGTTACCTGAGCATTTATACACATTAAGACTTACCTGTAACTGTCAACAACCGTGTTGATTTTTGTGCTTACGATTTTTGATTAATTATAATTGTAACTTGTGACAGTTAAAATCACAGAACGTGGTTCATTATAATTGCTATCACAATCGAAAGTATTAATAATTATTATTAAATTAGTGGAGAAAATATTTCGTCATCATTAACCTAATTTTAAATTTTCTTTCGTTCTCAATATATTAATATAAATACTATTGATAATTTACCGTTAACCTTGAGGTATATTGATATTCAATGATGAATTAAATTTTCTCATGTTTATGTAAATAAAAACATGAACCAATATAACCATTGATTTATAATTAAAATGGTTGGACAATTTAACTAATCATTTTGATAATTACGATTTTAAGATTTAAAAGGATTTGATTAAATAACGATAATCATCAATAACTATTGAATCTGAATCGTTTCCTTAATCATCAAGTTTCATGGTTTTTACCTTGATGGTTAAAAAGAATCAGAATTTTTTTCTTCTTCATTTCATTTAACCTTCATCATTTTTTTATCTTCTTTTCAAATTTGTCTTTCTATATTTATCTTCTCTGTCTTTTTCTCTGGTTGTACCCCTTTCTCATCATCATCATCATCTCTTCCTCTCTTTCTTTCTCTCACTTTCTTCCTCCTTCAGTTATTTTCACTTTGATTCATGCGATTAATTTTCAAGGATATAACAAGAAAATGATGATTATGATGATGACAAGGAAGAGAAACAGATTATCATGATCATGATATGAAACACTAAATAGACACAGAGAAAGTTATAATCATATGGTTGACCTTTTACCTCTTTCATTCATTACATTACATTCATTAGATTCAGTTTAATGTTTGACAATTTCAAATTGATTCATTGATATTTTTTTTACATTTATCCCTGAAAATTATCATGTTAATCGTCAAGACATTAATTAGGTTTATGATTATGGTGATCAACTTGCAAATTGATTAATAGAAAGATTTTCTTGTTAATTATTTGGCTAATAAATTGCTGATCTTTGATTTTATTACCTGGTAGTATATCTTTTGTTAATCACTTACAATTAACTAACATGATTACCTCGTTTTTTTACTTTTCAATTGAATTGTATTAATAAACTAATTAAATGTTGATAATTAACTGATTGAAAAGGCAAAAAAACAATAACAAACAAACAGAAACTTATTTATGATAATTGGGAGCCTAATTAAAACGTAATGATAACATAAAGTGACAGGTAAACAATTAATTTTAAGGTTAGAGAGAGAGAGAGAGAGAGAGTGAGTATCAAGTGTCATTATTATTAAATCAATAGGTAAATGTATTGTAATCATCGTCAAGTCAATTGGTGATGTTATCAAAACCTTGGGAAAATGATGATGGAAGGAGGGAGATGAAGATGAAGATGAAGATAAAATAAAAGAGGTAAAATAACAGTAAATCAACGTATTAACCTCAACGATAATTGTCCTTGAATCGTATTGGAATCAGCCTTCATTGTGGATAATAATAAGTCACTGGAAAATTAATGATCAACTTGAATTGTTATTTTGCATGTGATGATGATGAGGATGACGAGGATGATGTTGATCCTCATTCTCATTGTCACATTGTCTCTCTCTCACTTGCACTTTCTCCCTCTACTGTTCAATGTTAAATATATTTCACAATTAATCAGCTAATCAAATTAATTAGAAAGCAAAACATTGATTTAAATTGATCAACAATAATATTTACACTTTTCTTATAAATCATCATAAGATAAACACATTAACACTTTGATGATACAGTTAATTCATCATCCGTTAAGTCAATTCTGCTGATCTTAATTGTAGATTAAGATTATGGGGAAAATATATCATGAAATTAGGTTAATAAGTCTGATGACAATTACCAGTTAATTTCTTAAATCACACAATCAATTTCTTGATTCACAATCGTCTCTAAATCACTTTGTTTATTTTTTTGCTTCTTTCTCTCTTCAATCAACTAATTGTTATTAAAGTCCATGATTAACATGAAGGTTAACAATCAACTAATTATAAAACTGTAAGTGAAAATGAGATTAATATAAAAAAGAGTCTAGGTCAATGGTTACCTGGATTAAGGGAGATAATGAAAGAGATTAAGACAATCACAAGAAATCAGTAGATAAACATGATGATGATCATCATGAGAGAGAGAGAGAGAGAGAGAGAGAGAGAGAGAGATGAAGATGAGGATGACAAATATATACAGAATAAAGAAGAAAGTAAAATAGACAGAGAAAGTTCATCAAATTGAGAGAAGAGGAAAAGATGGAGAGAGAGAGAAACGATAACTTGAACCAAAGATTTTTTGGTTAAATGGGAAGAAAAGAAAGAGATGAAAAGTAAGAGAACATGGAAAAGAAAGAGGAGATAGAATGAATTGAGAAAGAAAGAGAAAAAGAAAGAGTAACTATGGTAACAGGTTGAATTGAGAATTGAGTTCAATGTACTCTTCTCATCGAGGACATTGACCTTTTCTCTTTCTGTGTGTTGATTCATGTTCATGTTTTGGGTTCACAGTTGAAATAAAATCGCTGTTAATGTTTACCAACAACAGAATTGTTTCTCTCTTTTCTTTTTTTCTAATTGTTCCAAATTTTCAAGTTTAATCATCAAATTAATTATCGAATTCTATTTATACAAGAAAACAATTTTTTTTCGTCAACAATTTAATATCAATCAATCAAATTTATATGTTTTCCACTTCGCATTGAATTTGTGATCAAATTTTACCTTTCAAATTGTGCAACTATTTCATTCCCTCATCTCTTTCATATTATTTGTTTGCTGATGACAGTTGAACAATTGTTGATTGTTGATTATTATCATTAATTATAATCACTATCATTTATTTCAATAAGTGTTTCTCCTCTTTCTCTCTCTCTCTCTCTCTTTATTTATCATCCTCCATGTTTTATCTTTGGGTTAATCCTGACAATTGGTCACATGGTTTCATCCAAAATCAATGTAAACATTTTAATCATCATTTACATTCAACTAATCAACTACAACAGCAATTAACGAGCTCACCATCACTTGACAATTACTATTATCCTAATCAATGAGCATCGTTTAAAAAAAACTGAATCAATTTTTTTTCTTCACACTAATCAATTGACCCGAAAGTTGATTATTTGTCCATCAAAATTATCATTTGTTTATTGGTTTTCCTTTTTTTTAATCAACAACAACAATAATCTATTTTTTCAATTGTTTTTTTCCTAATTGTTCCAATCATCAAATTCAAGTTAATTGATCATCTTTTCTGGTATCAATAGTGAACTTTGCTTGTTACCATAAACTCCCATCTCTCTCTGTGTGTACATCAAATCATCATCAGAAAAGGTAAACTTGATAATCCTCAGGTAACAAAGAGAAAACCAAATTCACTTTGATTTCTCACTTTTCCCTCTCTTTACCTTTATCCTCCTTTCTCTCTCTCTCTCTACAATATCTTTCTTTTCTCTTGAACCATGAAAAGAAAGAGAAAAATACAAAGAAACAGAGTTTCTATTTTCTTTCTCGTAAAAAAATTAAAGGGAAAAGCGTCAAAAGTAAGAGGAGAAAGAGAGTAAATGAGGCCCTTGACCTTGGCCTTTGTTACTTTTCCATTTTCCTCTCTAGTGGTAATGGCGGTGGGTCTTTTCTTGACCTTGAAATGATATAACAACAACAACAACACTCATCTCAATACACTTACATTAACCGTGTCCATCCCACAAGAGTGACCAATAAGTTACAATACTTGATTGTTAATATTGACGACAAACAATTAATAAACACTGATGGTTATTATTTGTTCATCAACTGTTGATATTATTGTCAAAATCTCTGGTTGTGTAGTAACATTAATGTAAAAAACGTTAATGGTAATGTGATTTTCTGGTTCCTTTTTTTTCTGGTTACATTTTCTGGTTCACTTCAGTTCCTAACAATTTACACTTATCATGTTTTTTTAATGTGAGTTTTTTTTCTCAACAATCAAGTTAATCAATTTTTTTTGTTTCTTCGCATGTTGATATTGATTTTCACGTAATATTAATACATTGGATCATTTCAGTTACGTACAATTCAACTAATCAGCACAGTACAATCAACTTTCCCTTTCTTGTATTCACCATCTTAATCTCATGTCATTTCATTTCAATCTTCATGATGATCAACATCTTGAAGATGCTTCTGTTTTGTTATTAATCAAATGTCAACCATTAGCTGAATGGTTTTTCCTTAAATTATATTACTACAATTATAACTATGATTCTGTTGATCTAATTAAACCTTAGCTAAGGGAGGATGTAGATTATGGATGATGAATTGTAATAAATATCATCTTATTAAGCAACATCCTCACTTGTTAATTTAAACTTGATCGTTATCATCCTACATCATTTTCATCATGTTTCACTTTCACTTTTTCCACTTCTCAATTCATTATTGAGATGAAAGAGAAACGAAACTTTCTCTCTATCAGATCAATTTTCTGTTCCATATCAGATTCGTTTCGATTTCGTACTCACTCTTATTATTTTTTTTCTCTCTCTCTCTCTCTCTCTCTCTCTCTCTCTCTCTCTCTCTCTCGCTTACTCACTCCTTCTGTCAGTGACCTAGTAACGAGAATCGATTTTATCCTTTTACCTTTTTCTCTTTCGAATTTTTCTTTCTCTTTCTTCTTCTTGCTCAATCTTTTCCTCCGCTGTGTTTACTTCTTGCCAGTGACCTAATAAAACTCATCGATTGTACTTTTTTTCCTCTTTCCACCCTTTTTATCTTCTCTATCTTTTCTTTTATCTTCACTTTCTCTCTCTTTTTCTCTTTAATCATCTTTATCATCGACATCATTTTCCATTATTTCGTTAAGTAGTTTTACTTTCTTTTTCTCCAAATTCTTTTCACTGTCGATATCAAGCTTCGATTTTCCTTTCATCTTGTTGTCATCTATTCGCCTTTCATGTTTAGAACCTCATCTGTATCCCCATTGGATACAATTCATTCTAATTGTCAAATGTTAGAAGGTTGGAGAGAGAAAAGTCGCTAATAATCTTAATGATAATTCCAATTGAACAGAACAACAAAGATTCATTTTCTGACACAGAAAAAAGGAACCTCAAAAAAGTTTCTTGATGCAGGGTAACAGTTTCTTGATGAATCTTTGCCAACCTCAAGTTGATCTTCCATCATCATCATGATTCGTTTTTCTTCTTCCGTTCTCGCTCTATTAAAAGATATTCTATCCGTTGAAGAGAACAATTCAAGATAGAAAGAAATAGATGCTCATGATGATGGAAAATGAATACGAAGGGGGGAAAGAGAAAAAAAGAAAGAGATTCTTCGAAAAGTAGGTCACCAGAATGTCCTATTTACGCAAAATCTCATCTCACTCTTTCTTATTCCCACTTTAATTCCAACTATCTCTCTCTCTCTTTCTCTCTCTTCATCTCTCTTTTATTTCTATCACCTCCCAATATCCACATTCTGTTATATCATGATGATAATAATCACTCTCATGCTACTATTAATATATAAAATTCACATCGAGATGCATATGAAAGATTGCGAAAGAAAATTCTTGGCTTCTATTTTCATCCTTCATCTTCTTCCTCATCCTTAAAATTAACACCATAACCTTACGAAGATTAAGATGATGATAAATTTAATGGATGGTGATAAAGAATTGAAACAAAAGCCTCTTTACCCTAAATGTCCTAAACTCTTGAAAGTAGCAAAAACACCAACCAATCAAGTGCCGAGTAAATGTCATATGAGTAACGAACAAAGTTATCAACGAAAATGTAAACAAAAACAAACGTCAAATTAAATTGTTTACGTTCAACACTTTAAGTTCCTCCCATTTGGAATACCCTTTACGTAATAAACGTCAAATAACAATTTGGTTTGTTGTTCCGTCAGAATCTTGATCAACATTTACCTTTATCCTTTTTCTATACTTGAAACTTTTTTCTTCTTCATGAAAAGAAAACAGTTAGTCAGAAATTCTGAATTGAGTTCGATTACTGATGAAAATGAAAGATAAATTCCATCAATTTTGAAATGCGAAAAATATTCTGCTTCTTTTTTCTCTTTCTTTTTCTCTCCATCATCATATTAGTAAACAACTTCATCTCCTTCATCTGAAAACATCTCTCTCCCTCTCTCTCTCTCTCACTCATCTCATCTTCCCCAACTACCTGTGCTCACTCACATTTAACTTCATCACTATCAACAAACAACAACAACAATAATATCCTGTTTTCATTTACCTTTTTATTTCAATGTTGATAAAATTTTTCTTTGTTTACTTTTCCATTTCTAGTGTAACAATTAACAAACAATTAACCAATTTCTCGGGATTAACTGTGGCAATAAATCAACAGAGATTTGTGTTTATCTAACCTTAACCTTTTAAACACTTTCTAATTTGGATTATCATTTTTTTCTTAATGGATTATTGTCATCACCATTATCATCAATTTCATCATCTTAATCAACCACCTCTCACATTGAAACAATTTACCTTCTTCCAATTGAAGAATATATAATTTATTAAACAATAATTGGATAATCTAATCTGCTTCCTTTAATCCAATTGATAATCCATTTTAAACTATCGACTGAGATTCTCAATCAAGCTAATCTACAATCAATACTAATCGTATAATATCAACATCGTCATCATCATCATCAACAACAACAACGACATACACACACAAACACTTGATTATCATCATCATCAGTTGATCTAATTGAATAACAATAATATTCTTGTGACGTTTAATCATCATCATCACTAATCAACAACAACAACAATCTAGATTAACTATTTGTTTATCTGTCAACAAAGTGCAATCTCGTGCAATCCTTTTTACAGTTACAATTAACTAATTGTCGCAACTACTCAAAAGTCTTCTGCTTGTTTCCTCTCTTTCGAGAAAAATTAATATTAATTTTATTTGGAATCATTTTAAAATTCATTCATTCATCATTCATCACTAATTTAAATCATAATGTTCAGTTTTCATAAGCCCAAAATTTACCGATCGATATCGGGATGTTGTATATGCAAAGCGAAATCTTCCAGTTCCCGTTTTACCGATTCAAAAAAGTACGAAGCTGAATTCGAGAAGTGTTTCCGTATAAGCGAAAAACGTTCTGGTGAGATATGTAATGCTTGCGTTCTGCTGGTTAAGAGGTGGAAAAAATTGCCTCCGGGGACACTTCGCAATTGGAGGCATGTTGTTGACGCTCGAGCTGGACCAGGAACTAAATCAATGAAATATGCGAAATTAAATCACAATTCATCAACCGGTGGATCAATTAATAGTACACATAATCATAAGAAACACAATAAACCAAAGAAAATTAAATCATCGATACTTGATTATACCGACATTCAAGGTAATCATAATTAACTTCAATCTTTTTTGTTTTAAACATCTCAATGATTAGCAAATTTTCAAGGGCCCTAAATTTAGTTTCAACCAATTAACATTGTAATTGTTTCGACAATTACAATTTAAATTGTGTCGTAATTTTATATTTAATTGTTATTGTTTCTCTTTCTTTAGGTTTCTAATGTTATTCTGTCAATTGATGTATTGTGTTAATTGTTGTGTTACAATTTAACTTATGGCTTCAATTGACTTGAATTGTTTATCTTTGTATGTTGATCGTTGATTTTCAAGCTTAATTGTGACAATTTTGGTTAATACAGTAAAAGAAGAGGAAATAAGATTATAATCTTAATCTATCACTTGTCTACTATTGACTATCTCCTTTGATTGGAAATAAAAAGCCTCAGGGTTTTTTACCATTTCTCTTGCAACATAATCATGATTATTATCATCATCTAATTCACTGAACCTGACTTTTTCTTCCGGATTTTATTGGTTCTAACTGTACCTGTAACCTGGTACCACTATGTTGCCCTTATACTAATTTCTTCCTCTCTCTCTCTTCATAATTTCTCACTCACTTTTCTTCCTTCTCATCTTCATCTTTTAGCTTTCTTTTCCTCTCTTTCCTTTCTTCTTCCTATTGGATAGTAGTTTATCTTAATCTCTTTCTATCCGACCCTCTCTCTCTCTCTCTCATCTTCTTTCTCTTTCTCTATAAAACTGACCTCTTCTTCTACCTCTTTCTTCGTCCACTTACATTCTGCAAGTTTTTTCTTGAATTTCTAATCAGTAAGAAAGAAAAGAAAGAGGAAAAAAAGTTCTCCAAAATTTTTCATCTTCTTCGCATCTTCCAGCTAACTTTTTTCTTCCTTTCATTTTCTCTCTTATTTTCATCATTCATATTCTCTAGTGTGTTTGCCTCTCTCTCTCTCTCTTTTTACCCCTTTTCTGAAACTACTCAGCCATGAATACGATAGATTTAAGCAACAACATCAAGAATCCTTTTCGAATCCTAAGTTAGTTCTAACCTTGATAATCCCTTATAATTGTTTTCTCCCTTTAAGAATCTTAAATATGATTTTTTTTTCTCTTTTCTAATTCTGGTTTTCTTTTCCTCTACTTTTTCAGATGGTGATAGATTTCAAATCTCATCAGTGAGACATTTATCCAGTCCAATTGGAAGTGATTCATCTGATTTAGATGATGATGAGGATGTCGATGAAGATGATTACCTGTCCGATTTTGACGACGAAAGTAAAGGACAAAATACCTTGGCTGGTGTAAGAAATACCGATGGTACAACAACCACGACCAAGAAAAAGCTTCGTAGTAACTCAAAAAGTCCACTTTCCACCAGTACAATTACATCAGCATCTTCATCTTCAAACCTCTCATCCCCTGGATCTTCATCCACCAGCCGAAGAAGCTTAACCAAGCGCAGTAAACCACCAACAAGCTCACTCTCTAAAGTTTCTTCCTTCTTAGATATGTCCTTCTGGAGGAAGTACGTACCTTCCATCAACCACCCCACCACCTCCTCTTTATCATCCTAACCCTTCCTACTCCCTCTCCCCTTCTCTCTCTCACTTACCTTATCCCAACTCTTTCATTTCTCTTCCGCCTTTATACACCTCCAATTATATTTGATTCTTTTTTTCTTCTTTTCTGCTTCAAAAATCATTCCAACTAATTGACTTCTATTTTTCTTTTCTTCTCCTTCCATTGTCACCTTGGAACGGATTCACCTGATGGATTATCTCTTGATTTATTTGCAATTTCATTCGAAAAATAGAGAAAAAATTTGCTGTGGAATAATCTTCAAAGGTCCTAACAACGAGGTGCTTATTTATCCCAAACTGCTCAAACCCTGTTCATGTCGCATTAAAATGACCGAAGCAAAATCTGGTGGCGGAAGTGGAGGAAGTGACACTGCCTCGATCACATCTACCTCACAAATAGAAGAGGACACGAACAGTAATGCCTCAAGCATTGCAGCTTATTCTCTTTAACAACAATTTCATTCTTAGGATGATATTTCAATTTCTCTTCCTCTTCCTCTGTTCATCTTTCCCTCTTTCTTTTCACCATAATATTAAAGCCTTTTCCCTCTTTCCAAACTGTTAATCGCCTTCTAATCCTTAAAACTCAAAATTCTTTCATCTTTTTACTTTCATATCCATCAATTCATTTACATCTCTCCTTTCTCATCTTATATAATTACTCTTCTTCCATAATCTATTCCTTCAACTCTTCCCCACCTCCATCATCATCACCAATACCCTCTTAGACTGAGATCCAATATCCTTTTCCTTGTAAGACATTTTTTTTATATATTCACATGAAACCTTAGCCTCTCACCTTTACAATTCCCACTCCAATTTAAATGGCTAATTACTTTAGAAAAAGAAGAGTAAATGATTTATATATTAATTAATTATTATTTGTAAACTATTTCATCATAATCATCATCTTTTTGTGCAATTATCGTCAACACTAATATAAATTAATATGATTGTAATAATATCTTGACAATGCAACGATATCAATGACAAGTTGTCGTCCGCATCCATAACCAACCAACCAATACAACAATCAACATTATCGCAATCATCCTAGAGCAATTATCATCAAAATGAACCTTCATTAAATCTGATCACGGCTTACCTGATCATCATCATCATCGCCATCACCACCACCACCACCATCATCATCATCATCGTCTTCAGTTATCCACAATATTCAATAAGGAAAAAGAAAACTTTTTTTTTCTTCTCGCAATCAAAAAGCCCAATAGCAAATAAACAATAAATTATATAATCTTATAAACGGATTTATAAATACACTGATTGATAATCATTATCTTAATTTGATTATAATCAAATCTGATCAACAAAACTTGAATGACACAGTTACAACAATTAAGCACCTTCTTCATTATCATCACCATATGAACCACATGAAAACTTGACCATCTTCATAATGTCACATTAAGGATTCCATAGATGTTTGTAATGATTAACAAATTATTAATTATTCATCATAATCATTGATCATCATCAACCTCATAATCAACTCTAATTGATCCCTCATCTTACCGCAATCAATTTAAATTTGATAACAATTAACAATGATAATAACAAACAGTTATCAATATTAGTGAGCTATTGATACAAAAATATAAGAGAAAGGTTTTTAAAATATTAGTTAAACCAATCAACACAGAATCAGAACAATTAATTAATTATATGCTGATGATTATTATTCATTTACCTACATTCATAATATATTATTATCACAAAGTAATTAAGTTAATTATATATATTAATACATGGAAACAAATATAATACTTATAATATATTAACTGGAACATGAAACTGCCTAAGAATTTAAATGGAAAAGAAAAACTTTTCAAACAATTTAACTGATTTTCTAATTACAATTAACTATTATATTGTCAATCAGTTGATTCTTAATTAATAACATAATATATATTCAATTTTAATTTAATTTCAATTTTTTCTTCATTTACTTTGATTTCATTTAATTTAACACTTTTCTTTTGGGTTAATTAACTTTTTAGTTTTCATTGTAAACAATTTAACTTAACAAATTATTATTATTATTACAATTTGATTTGATTGATTTGTTTGCATTTTAATTATTTTATCTTAATTTCGTTTCTTCATCTTAATTGTTTGCTTTGACACTCACTGCCTCTTCCTAATTGCAATTGAGCCTTAGCTCAACAATTTAATCTTCTCATTGATTAACAATTTTTTTCTTAATCACTTTTCATTTTTAATTGTAAATTTTAAACGTCCAAGACGTTACTCTCTCTCTCTATCTTTTAATTGTCATTAATTATCAATCACATTATAATGAGATTATAATTAATTAATTTTCATGATTTAAAAATCATGATTATATCAATTGAAACTATTTGATATTTACATTGTTAATTATCAATCAATTAACATTTTACATATTTAACATACAAAATTAACACTTCTAACTAATTATCTGGTTTGGAAAAGGCAATTTAATTAACAATAATTAACGATTAACGATTAGAAATGTTTTTTGATTTCTCAATTTAAAATTGAATTGATTGTTCATTCTGAATGTGGTTAAAAGATATTAAATATAACTGTAAATTGTAATGGTAAACTAAGACGTTGGGATTAACAAGATTAACCTATTAAAATATTAACACAATTTAATTACAATTAAACTTTTGTGAAAACTTTTTTTCTTCTCATTGATTATCAACCATTTCCAATTTCTGGTCATCCTGGTTGACTAATTGTTCAGTTGAAATGAACATTTCGTCTTTAAGATAAACAAATAATGACTCATTTATTGTGATGATTATTCTTGATTTAGTTAATTGTTTATTGGAAAACAAAACAATTAATTTACTTGGTTTATCAGCAAATGACAACAAATCGGTTCAAATTTTTCCGAGATCCGCATGGGAAAAGGTTTAGATTGTTCCGTCATTCAATGACCAATTAGTTTAAATACTCGATAATTAATTGGAAGCAAAAATGATTCGATCGTTGAAAAAATTAATCAAAATTAACTTTTTTCTGGTTAAATGATGCAATCAATTGGTTGCCATGGATACGCTTCGATCAAGTGGTGACCTCTCGTGAGCAATTAGTCTACTTTTCGTTAATCAAATTTAACTTTTTTCGTGTTGATTTTCAGGGAAAATCAAGATTTGTAATTATTATTTGTAATAATTTAAATTGTAAGAGAATAAATTTCAATGGCGATTGATTGATTTTATGAGAGATTAGTGGGAAGTTGCCAAATAAATGGTCAATTGGCTTTTTCTTATGAGAAAATGAATCGAAAAATTTAATTTTATCAAAGAGTATAAATGAATAGCAAAAAAAGACAAATTGGATGTATTGAAATTAAGAAATTAAAAATGAAATGAAAAAGCAAAATTAAAAGAAAAATTAGAAAAGAATAAAAATGGATTGATTATGATGTTGAAATGAGAACAAAGTGAAAGAATAAATAAAAGAGAGGGAAAAATTAACCTTCTTTTGGATAATTTGATGCTCCTTGAGAATCTTTCAAGTTTCCATGGTTTTCTTTCAACAATTTAGGTTACCTTGGAACGAAATTGTCGATGGTTTGATTGGTTGATTCTTTTTCCGACGGAAAACCAACTTTTTGGTCAATGTGTGAACAGTTTGGGGTATTTGTTTTCCTTTTGGTCTTGCTTCGAAATCTCGAGCAACCACCATGTTTACGTGGGTTAAAATTGAGACAAAATCGTAATAAGCTCCATGAGTTGATAAAAGTGGACCAAGTGATTGAACAAACCATCCACCGGAACTTGTATTACGATACGAAAAATAACCTTCAACAGTTGAGTATGAGATCAAAAAGTCAGCCCAAATGGGAATGGATTGAGTTCGATCAGCCGGTTGAGCGATCGTTATTGCAGCGTCAGTTTGGCAGTCCAAGTGAGTACCAGGATCTTCCGCATTTCCTCTGCAAGCCTAAAGATGGAGATTAAGAGTAGATTGAATTCAAAAAGATTAAGAAGCGAATAAATTAAGCACAGAAAAAGAGTTGAGACGAGAAAAGAAAAGAAAACGGATTTACCTGGATAAGGAACACTTTAGGCTTTCCTTTGAGCGATGGACATTTATCACCGGTGAAAAGTTCATATACATCTCGTTTACTGTATTGATGATCACTGGCGTGAAGCTTTTCCTCTTCCCCGTGTGTCAAAATGCAACAAACAAAACAATCGGCATCCGAATGATCAACTTCTCCAGAAACTCGTTTCAAGACATCCTGAAGTTCAGCAAATTTAAGATCTTGGTGAGTTTCAACCTCAAAACCAAGACTTGCGAAACATTTTTCCAAAATATATGCATCAATGTCGGTACCATTTCTAGTAGCAACAGAGACAAAATGTTTATGATTAAAAATAAGGCACTTTCCCCGGCGAGGATAGTCCATCCGGTATTCAGCGTCAAATATATCGGTTTTAAAATGACCTAATGGACTGTCGATCGATTCAATATCACCACCACCAGTAGCACCATTGCCTCCAATTGATTCGCCATCGAAACTTGACCCAAAAGATTCAGGTGAATTTCTTAAGGGTCGACTGATAGCACATCCATCAATCGATGAGATATTTTCACTTGATGAAGACGATGAGGGCAATTGATTTTCATGAGAATCCATAGTTGAGATGTGAGAGTTGTTATTCTGTTGAGGTTCAGTTTCCGATTGATTTTCAATTGGCACATGTAAAGGTGGATCAGTTACACTCTCTTCATTATCACCTTGTAATCCAAGAGACTCACTAGAAGACAAAATGAAGATAAAAAGAAGATGAGAAAATTGAAACAATAGGTGAAAACAAAACACTTATAGTTGAACAATTAGTGACCAAATAAGATGAGAAATCTAAATGTTTACATAGTAACTTTTATGTAACTTTACTTTGTTATGATCAACAGAGTTTAATAAGATAACGAAAGGTGAACCGATGAGTAATAATCCACTTGATAGTTAACATGGATTAACAGATTATAGAGAGAGAGAAACGTTACCTTAAATCGGCTGAAAGTGAATCGATGGCGTTTTGTTCAACTGTAAAAAAATAGAAACAATTGGAAAACATGATTAATTAGATGAGAATCACAATTAGAGAAGAATGAAAATTCAATCTCATTTTTAATTGTACAGAATAAAGAAAAACATTTTGTTTACCTGAAGACATTTTTTGATTGTGTTAACCAATGGTAACTGGTGAAGGATTAAAAAAGGGAGCAGATTAATGAATTATTGGGTTAGAGTGAGAAAATTGAACTGATTAAAAGATAATTAAACAATTGATTGGTAATTAGAAATTAGATTAACACAAGAGCAGAGAAACAAAAATCGTAAGAGGAAAAGAGATAAAATCTAATGTTTATAATAACAAATAGAAAATTATTGTTACATAAAAAGAGAGAGAATTGATTGGAAATTTAAGATAAGAAGCTATTCAATCAACGATTATAATTAATCATCAGTTGATTGAATTTTTCGTTTAATTCTGTTGTAATTGTCGTTAATTGTTACTCTTGAAAAGAACACGTGAAGAAAAACAAAAGAAAACAAGAGAAAAAAAAAATGAAGACAAAATTGTGATGATTCTCAATTGGAAACCATGGATTCCAATTTGAATATCACCAAAATAAAGATTAATACTTGATGACGAACTGATTGTGTCAATGAACTTTCAACAAGTTTACCTTGAAATCAGGTTTCAATTAAACGAAATCGCCAAAGGTAAGAAGAGAAAATAAAAATAAAAGAAAAAAGAAAACAAAGTTAATAAAGATCCTCGTGATCGCTTTGGTGTGGCTTAAGTTTTACATTTGAATTTTAACCAATAAGAATCGATGAGTTGGTCAGTTGATAATTGATCGAGTTTCAACTTTTGATTTCTTTTGTTTCTTTTTCTTTGACGAATTGACGAAAATTGGACTTTTCTACTCGCCGTTATTTGTTTATCTTTCTAATTTGGATCAAATTTTTCGAGGTTAATTTACCTTGGGGAAAGAGGAAATTGATTGAATATCAATTTATGATGACCATGGAAAAGGTTGATAACATGATTGCTCTGTGAATAATCAATCGATTGAAATTTTTAAAGGACTTTTTAATTATGATGAAATTTGTAAGTATTGATGGAAGATGATTAAGTAATAAAGAGGAAATCGGACGAAAATAAGAAGAGGGCTGGAGAAAATTTCATTTTAAAAAATGCGCGAAAAAAGAAACAGTCCAAGTATCGATATTTTCCCATGAAAATGACAAAACTTTTCTCAAGTTTTTCAATATCAATTCAACGATAATAACAAAAGTTCTTTCGACAGTTAAGTTAACCAACTTTTAGATAATGAACATTGACAAACTTATATTCAGTCGCTTTGTCAAATTTCAGACTTCCATTTGTAAAAAATGTTCGATTTCATTTCGATTATTATTCCCCACTAATCATAATCATTCCCTTAGTTTATAATCAGTCACTTTCACTGACCATTGCTCAATCATTTATAATAGAAATTCAAATTGCAGGAGAAGGTTAGTCGATCATAATTAATCTAATAACGAAAGTTGGGAGGTCAATTTTGAGATTTCGAGTTTTAAATAGTTGAGATATTAGCATTCTGAGTTTTAACGGATTGGGTGGTAAGTACAATAGTTAAGTTGTATGGGAAGAAAAGGTGTCGCTCCAATCTCGAGCATTTACCCAACCAGTAACGGTTGTCCCATTTACAATGTTACAGTAGTTCAACAACTATAATAACATTAATTTTTAGATTTATCAGAAAAGGGTGAGGGGAAATTAGGAAATATAAAAATGTGAAAAGTTACAAATATAAACTATAATAGAAAAACAATCTTTGGTTAATAATGGCGGAATGAAAAAGTGTTGAAAGTGTTAACATATATACATAGTATTTAAAAGGACAAAGGAAATTGGATAGAAATTGAGAAAATGTTTGTTATATCTCTCCGTGATGATAGACATTCAATTAATTATTTGTACGAATTGAAATTATTAAATATCCAAGATAATTCAGTTGATGACAAGATTAATCGTATGATCCACTTCTATCCCGTTTTGTCTTTATGTTAGCGACTCCAGGATTTCATGTTCAGTGACGAGTTCATCTCACTGTTTGCTTGTCTTTATAAAAGGTAAATGATGAAATAACGATGATTGGAAACTTTTTAAAACTGTCACTTTGCGAGTATCTTAAACAAAATTTACATTCACAACGTTTCCATTTCCTTTCCTTTTGAGGCAAAATTTTACGAATTTATCTTTTTTGTATGAGATCCATTGAGCTTTCTACACAAATTCATCTTGTAATGAAATTGTCGATGGTTTGATTCTTTGATTCTTTTTTCGACGGAAAACCAACTTTTTGGTCAGTGTGTGAACAGTTTGGGGTATTTGTTTTCCCTTTGGTCTTGCTTCGAAATCTCGAGCAACCACCATGTTTACGTGGGTTAAAATTGAGACAAAATCGTAATTTGCTCCATATTTTTATAAAAGTGGACCAAGTGATTGAACAAACCATCCACCGGAACTTGTATTACGATACGAAAAATAACCTTCAACAGTTGAGTATGAGATCAAAAAGTCAGCCCAAATGGGAATGGATTGAGTTCGATCAGCCGGTTGAGCGATCGTTATTGCAGCGTCAGTTTGGCAGTCCAAGTGAGTACCAGGATAGTCCATCCGGTATTCAGCGTCAAATATATCGGTTTTAAAATGACCTAATGGACTGTCAATCGATTCAATATCACCACCAGTAGCACCATTGCCGCCAATTGATTCGCCATCGAAACTTGACCCAATAGATTCAGGTGAATTTCTTATGGGTCGACTGATAGCACATCCATCAATTGATGACATATTTTCACTTGATGAAGACGATGAGGGCAATTGATTTTCATGAGAATCCATAGTTGAGATGTGAGAGTTGTTATTCTGTTGAGGTTCAGTTTCCGATTGATTTTCAATTGGCACATGTAAAGGTGGATCAGTTACACTCTCTTCATTATCACCTTGTAATCCAAGAGACTCACTGCAATCAGCTGATGGCGAATCGATGGTTTTTGTTCAGATGAAGAAACATTTTCGACTATGTTAACCGTTTTCATTTTGAATTTTAACCAATACGAATCGATGATCTGTTCAGTTGTTCATTGATAACGTCTTCATTTCCTTTCCTTTTGTAGGTAAATTATCACTTAGGTAACAGAGGAAACTGTTTGTTTTTCTTTGTACAATAGTTTTAATCTTTGCAATATTTCACTTGTTAACTTCATAAAGGATATTATGCCTTTTCTATTGTCTTGTATCATTTCTAATACGTAACTTTGGTCGATTTGGTTTTTTGCGAAAAATTTGAATCTAAGATCACAAAACTGTTCACACTCAAGTATCCAATGACTTTCGGTGTTTCTTCCATTTCCACATGAACATAACTCAATTCTTTCATTATCATTATATTTCAAATAGAAATGACTTCCACACATGAACAATAACAAACTTATCACGTTATTTGATGTCTTCTTTTTGTTAGTATAATTATGATTGAAGAAAATTTCATTGATGTTCTCAGAGAGCCAAGATAATCCACTTAGATGTTGGTCATCCCATTTAGCACATAGGTCCAGAGCTTGACACTTAAAACAATCTGGATCATTTTCACCGATAATTTTTCTTAGTCTATTTAACACAAAATCGTCAGAGGTTTTTTCAATCATCTCAATATTTCTTCTGAGTAGAACTGACCAAGGAGATTCAAGAAGAATTATTTTGATTGCTGTTATCGACGATGTAGATTTGTTGAAACCAAAAATGGATTTTGTACCAATTGCTAACATTCTCAACATAATGGTTCGAATCTTATTAGTTGTAATATCCATTACAGTTGATTTCGGTAAGCCATAAATTTGAGAACCAAAAAACGACTCAACCATCAATTTTTTCCAGCGAAAAGGTAATATCTTGATCAATTTTCTTTTCGAGTAGAAAAATTCACTCACTACTTTTGTCTTATATTCAAGTTTTTTCCAATGTCGATCTCTCATTTGTGATCTTGAAAAGGTGTATCCAAGAATTTTCAATTCATCTGATTCATTTCCAATCGAATCAATTTGCTGTCTCTCTCCTGATTTTTTGGCACCTTTTAACATGATGAATTGGCTCTTTTCCTCTGCGAGTGATAAGTTGACATCAGCTAGATGAAGCTTGAGCGATCTCAAGGCATCTTGAACTTTTTTCTCTAGAGTTTCAAAATCTTTCCCTCGAACAATGAAAGAAATATCATCAGCGTATACGGAGAAGGTTAACTCAGCTAAAGCTATATGAATTTTTTCATTTGTACCAATTACGTAAAGTAAAGGACCTAGAATTGATCCTTGAGGAACTCCTTCATTTTCCTCTTTCCATCGCTTGGTGTTCTTATATTCTATCAAAGTTATTCGACTTTCCAAAAAACTTACAATTAGATCATATTGTCTATTCTCAAGGCTCAGTTTCTTAATATATTCCAATATTGAGCTTCTTGATACAAAATCGAAAGCTCCTTTTACATCAACAGCTACTAACATGATTTTCTCTCTGTTATTTTCATTTTTCTGCGGTAATTTTTTCAATAAATTTACAATAGCATCATCACGAGAAAAACCACTTCTGTAAGCGTATTGATGCTCCCAAAAATTTTCACCGAGAGAATTCAACAGACAGATCATCAGATATTTCTCCAGGATTTTACCAAGGAAATGCTGCATATGAATCAACCTCGCTTTACTTTGGTCTGACTTTGGAATGAGAATACCTTTCGCCACTTTAAATGCCGTTGGAAAATAACCAGATGAGATGATATGATTGAATAGGTAAGTGAAGAAAGAGATATTTTTATGGATGAATAACTTCCAATATTCTCCTTTTATCCCATCGATACCTGGAGATGCTTTCATATTGAGTGAATTAACGATAAGTTTTAATTCATCTTCATCCAAATACTCATCAAAACAATAATCCAATTTTCCAACTGAAAAAGAGGGGAAATCACCAATGTTCATTTCAGATAATTTGACTTCACAGTTTCGATCATATTCTTCATTGTGTATCCAACATGATCTCTCTTCATCATCCACCCATTTGATTCTTTTGGAATCTATCAATCTGTTTATCACCTTCCAAGGTGTTGATTGATTGGCATCTATTTTCTCTTTAGTTGATTTGTTTCTCTTTTTCTTTATAATTAATTTTAATTTTTTCTTCTCCACTTCAAGCCATTGGATTAATGAGATTTTCTCGTCTCTAGACGAGTTTTTAATCCTCCGGTAAATCTTGTTTATCTTTTTCTTTTGTTGGTCTAGTTCTTTATCCCACCATGGCTTATTCTTGTTCCGAGGAACTTGAGATGATGAGATTATCAGCTTAAGAGAATCAACAATTTTTTCACAATATTCATCAATTTGACGTTTATCACTAAATTTATTGAAAGAGGTCGGTGTCCAGTTCAACATTTTAGCACAGAAAATATTATGATTGGTGATGGTTTTTTGTTTCTTTTTGAGTCCATATGATGTAAGCTCGATAACTGTTGATCTGTGATCACTTCCTGGCCATTCAAACGTTCCGATGAAATTGACAAAAGGTTCAGCACAAGAGCTAACAGCTAGCATATCCAACCATGAATTTTTACCAGTTGACCTTGAGGTGAAAGTGTAATTGTCGTGAGTTGGAATTCTGGAGAACCAAAAATTATGAGCATTTAAAACACTAGCGAAAGTTGAGCCTTTATCAATCATGTCTGGTCTACTTGTAGTTAAGTCAAAAGACCAAGCCGGGTGGAGTGAGTTAACATCACCACCGATAACGACAATTTTATGAGAGTGTCTGTTCAGCACTACATGTAGTTTCCTACATTCACTTTCATATTTTTGTCTATTTAAATTTGGACTAAGATAGACACAAACGATAACAATTTCACTTTTTTGGCTCTTCGTCATTGCTACCGCAGTTTCATCCATGGATCCATTCCAAAGTTCAACAAGAGGGAAATTAGATAAAATCACAGCTCTTTCTTTCTTAACCATATTGATTCCTTTTATGACAAGATTTGAAAGAAAAGTTTCATTCGGTTCAGTTAACAAAATGATTTGTTGATTTACACTTTTTAAGGTTGACATAATGTTGTCCATTGCTTCATTCGAGTTTGCTGCATTAATTTCAGTTATTATCATATTAATATAATTGATTATAATGATAATCAATCGATTCCATTGCTTTTTGTATTTCAACACTCATAAGAGGACAAGTTCTGGACATTGGATGATGATTAACGTTGATTTGTCCATGATCTTTACACCTTAAACAGATAGGATGAGTAGATGGACAATTCTTTTCTTCATGACCATTTTCTCCGCATCTTTTACATCTTTGTTGATTTTTACACTGATCATGACGGTGACCATCATTTTTGAGGCACCTCGAACAACCAGTGAGAGGAAAAGTATCTTCAACTCTGAACATTCGATAGCCAATCTTTATTTTACCATCAGTAGTTGATATTTAATCACGAATCACACTTGGAATGGTAATTATTAGATTTTTTAAAACCTTTTTCTCCTTGTTTTGAGAATCAAAAGATTTGAGAATCTTTATCTCTTCTCTCTCTTTGTCTTCCCATTTATTGTGTTCTATTAATTTCTCCAATATGCCATCATCGGTGAGAGTTGAAGACTGAAGAAGATCTTTAATATCAACACCACGAACAAGGATTCTTGGATTTCGTTTTTTAGGTTCCTCGACTATAAGCTCGGGATTAGATTGTTTGAGAGCAGAACTGATGAGTTTAATATCTGTTTCAGTTGATCCAATTATTAGAACAGAGTAATCTTTAGCTTTAACCAAATTCAATGATATATTGATATTTTTTCTCAATACTTTCATAACTTTCGATTGAACATAAGAGCCTTTTGCCCACGCGTCTTTCTGTTTTTCTTTAATAAAAACGACTTTCTTTCGATTTTTTCTTGCTGGAGCTGCTGGTCTAACATGAGTTGATTCCTTTATCATTTCTGCGTAACTCTTTTTTGGAACTGTAGTTTCAATTACCTTATTGAATTTATCACCAACTTTAGTTATGAGCTGCTCTAAACGTTGATCTTCACCGAGTCTTTCCTCTATCATCCTAGTAATGACACCCATTGTTTTGGCCACCAAATTAGATTTTGATTCATTAGTTAATCTACCATCAGCAATTATTTCATTAATTGCCTCAGTCACTTCTTTGGTAATGGTCAATTGAGAGACAGAATCACTTGGTAATTTCATTTTTGAAACAATTTGAAGGTGAGTAAGCGACTTTTTCCTTATATGCTTAATGAGATCACTCATTGTGTCCATGTGGTCACCCATGGTGAAAACAAAAAACGTTGATAACTTTCTTAATTCTAAGAATGAATAATCGCCCTTGGTATCAAACTGACCCTCTCACACTGTTAAATAATAATTTCACAAAATTAAAAATTAAAAAGTTCTGAAAAACACCAAAAAATTGAAAAAATTCAGGAGCACAAAAATAAACAACTTTCCAACTGGGTGGCCGAGTGGTTAAGGCGTTGGACTGCTAATCCAATGGGCATTGCCCGCGTGGGTTCGAATCCCATCTCAATCGAACAATATTTTTATTTCGAACAATCAAAAACAATAGAACATTAATCATCTGAAGCGCTTTCCCCCCCCCCAATCAATTAATCATCGAAGGAAACGAGCAATTAACTATACAATGTAAACGATAATTTCGTATTCTCAAGTTAATCAATTTTATTGATTTTCCAATCGATTGTTATTATTACAATTAAGACACTTTGATTGTGACAATTTGATTATCACACAATGTAAATGATTTATTTACAAATTGTTTCATTTCATTTTCTTTCGGTTGATTAATTAATTATTTTGATGACAATTGTTTAAAGGAAAGGGAAACTTTCTGATCTTGATATATCATGGATTCCAATTGATGATTGTAATGATGATGAGGAAGATAACTTTTTATTTGAATAGAAAATATCCTTCAAAGAACCTCGAAACTTTTTGAACGGTTCTAATACAAGGTCAACTCGATTAACATAAATTTTAGATTCACTTGAAACCATTTTCAATGATTGATCACCATCTTGATTAGATTGATTGTTATTATTATTACTATTATTGTGAGTATGATGTTGAGGTTGATTGTGATGATTATAATTATTACTACAATTATATTGAATGTAATTAGGTGAAACTGATCGAGTTGAGATTAGTCGATCTTTTTGTCTCTTTAAATGTCGATTCTGTTCATCGATTAAATTGTTAACTGAACTTGTTGTCGTTAATCGTGACACTTTGATTGATGTTGATGCCGTTGATTTGGTTACATAGGATAAAGATGGTGAAGTTGCCGATGTTTTCGGCCTTCCGGTTAAATCGGTTAGATCGAAATCGGAGAAAGTTTCGTCGAAACCAGTTCGATGTTGACTCGATCTCATTGGAAAAAGACGATTAAGTGAAGATACTGAACGTTTCTGGAGCATTTTAATCTCACACGAAGAGGTTAACACTTTGTAACCGAAACTCGCTCTGTGAAAATTTGAATGGTTTTGTAACTTGGACGATGGATTAGAACTGAGTTCTAATGTACCAATTTCGAGTGAACATTTTTTACTCTCTCCGATGTTACTGTTAGCAAATGCTTTTCTGCTCATCTGAGATTCGGAACGATTGAAAACTGGGCTTGTACGAACTGGACTATTTGGCAGTGTGACTGGTGAACTTTTCCTAGTTATAAGTCCACCGCTTATAATGCTAACAGGACTGATCAATGTCGACGATCCAAGTGACCCTGATGTGGTCATCGTGCTCATAAGACTTTTAAAGTGACATCGTTGATCCTTTGAATCTCGAGGATGGACAATTGAACGACGAGAGTTTAACCTTTCCCGAGACTCTCCGAGTAACCAAAATGTCTTAAGTTCACCTTTACCCTTAATTGGAACCAAACCTCGTTCCGTCAGATCATAACCACCCAATTTCACAAGAATTGAACGAAACGAATCGGTAACATGAATTTTCAACGGTAAACTTGTAGTTTCCATTCTTGACGCTGTATTAACAGTATCGCCGAAAAGACAATATCGAGGCATCTTAACACCAACCACACCAGCGCAAACAGGACCACTATGAATACCCACTCTCATGAGAAGACTTTCCTCTGGTATATGACGAATTTTAAATTTTCGAACAGCATCCAACAAGTGTAACGCCATGGAAGCGATTTCGGAAGCATGTAGATCACCATTTCTAATCGGTAAACCGGAAGCAACCATATAAGCATCACCAATGGTTTCCACCTTGTAAACATCATAAGATTCAACGATCGAATCAAAAAGTGTATACAAATCATTGAGAAAGTCAACAATTTGAAGGGGAGTCGATTGAGCGGACATTCGAGTAAATCCAACGATGTCACTGAAAAACACGGTCACCGATTCAAAAGATTCCGCTTCAACTTTGTGTCCACGGCGAAGCTCATCAGCCACCGCTTTAGGTAACATCTCATAAAGTAAATCTTCCGTTTTCTTTTTCTCTTGGACCAATTGGTCAGTTCGCTCATCAACCAGCGCCTCTAAATTAGTTGTGTATCTTTCCATCATGTCCAACATATTATCAAGAATATTACTTTTTAGATCTCTTTTAATTGGTTTCAGTCGATTTCGTATCATCTTAAAATCTGGCCTATCATCGGGATTCTCAGACCAACACGATTCCATACAAGAGATACAAATATCGTACATATAATTGGTCAACTGATTCTTATTAATATTACCATAATCATCGGCATTATTATTGATTGAATTAATACTAATGGTACCACATCCATTATAACGAGAGGTTAATCTTAATTTATCACGAAGATAATCAACCGGAGGTCGAATCGGTTTACTTGTTAGCTTTGGATTAATAAGCGAAGTGATTATCTCGGAAGCTGATAAATTACACCCACCCCAAGGTCCCTGGCGGCTTAGAATCTCATAAAGAATCATTCCAAATGAATATGAATCGCCCTTCTGATTACCGGTAAATAAATTACCACCAGACAATTGGATCAACTCAGGTGCTCTCCACAATAAACCTAATCGAAATCAGTTAATTGTTAACAAAAATCTTGTACATTTACGATCTTAATTGTTTCACTTACTTTCACAATATTTTTCAAAATCGGCCATTTTAACGACTTCACCATGTTTCAATTCATTCAAACCAAAGTCCGAAATTTTAACAGCCCATCGACTATCAACTAAACAATTAGATGATTTTAAATTACCATGAACATGTATAGCTGATTCGTGAAGATAAATCATTCCCTGTAGATGTAAAGTAAATCCAAACCACACAATTAGTTGATTGTAATCGATAAATATTTGATAAACTCAACTGATTAACTTACTCTTATAATATCACCAACCATTGAAGCGATGAAAATGTGATCAAGATGAACTTCAGCATTTTGTAAAACATCCTGAAAATGGTAATAACAATCAATTAAAAGGTACTTTAATTGTGATCATGATTAACTAATTACCTTTAGACTCCCTCTTGTACAATAATCAGTTAATATTGAAATATTAGGAGCATCAACACAGGCACCGATGAATTGGTTCAGATTATCGTGTCGTATATCCTTCATCTTAATAGCAAAGATCAAGTTAATTGAACTAATTACTAGAAGAGAAATTGAATTGATTGTTGAAAAATTAAACTTACTAATTTCATTTCGATTTTTAATTCACGATTAATGACAACATTTTTCTTGTTTATTCTTTTTAAGGCCACTAATCGTCCTTTATAAAACGCGACTTGAGTGTACAAGTGACAATAACGAAACTCGAGTATGTCACTTGCTGAATTAAGGGAAACTTGTGAAGAGTATCTAAGCTGAAGATTAATAATAAAAAGAATGTAAGATAAATTAAATCTTCTAATGATTGTTGTGATAATTGTTCTGTTTAATTAGTTATTGATTAACCTTTGAAAATTTAGTAATTGGAACAGTTTCTCGGACAATGACATCTTTAAAATCAACTCGCCACAATAAACTGTCCAATTCTTGTTCATAAATCCAAGCTCGATAACCGATCATCATTAATATTGCCATTACAGCAATTACACTCGCAATTAAGGCAAAAAACCATTCTAATGGTGGTTCTAATTGTTTACAATTTATATAACATTAAATGTGGGAAGAACAAGGTAAAGAAGAAAAGTTCATTAATCTAATTAATCAATGACACCATTGATTTTTTACCTTTACATTTATCACCGTCAAATCCACAATGAGGCTCATCAGCAGGAGGATAATCAGATACCCATTCAACTGAATCAACTAAATTCAGACTCTTTACAATTTAAGAAAAGAAAAAATATAATCAAGAATAATAAGAGAAAAAACAATTAAGATCAACAATTGACTTGACAAAGTTCATCTTGAATTGATTGATTGGATTACCGGTAAATCTGATGAATTAATCGGCATTTGAAATACTCCAATTGGATGAAGTCCATATTTACCATCACGTTTTTTACGAGCAATTAAGGTATAGTTACCTTCAGCGTCGCCATTTTGGTCCATGTAAACCATATAACCCATTGCACCTAAGATTATTAGTCAATGAATTAAATTGTGTTAATATAAATACGTTGATGGAACTCACTTTTATATGGACGATTTCGTATATATGAAAGTAACAATTTACCATCTCGATGGTTATTACCATCGATTAGACATTCATTAAGGGCTCGAGCGTAAATGAAAACAGCATCGTAAAGATAAGCGGCATCAGCAGGTACCTTTAGACAATTAAGAAGACAATTTATTAATCATCGAAATGATAAATCATGGCAATACTATTAATAATTACGTTGATCATAATTGGTCTTAAATCTTGTTTATTGATTCTGTTTACTTGATTTATTTATCGTCTCAACTTAATATTTATCCATTCAGATATTTTCTTACTTAACATGAGCATCTAACTAGACTAAGTAATAGATGTTGTTTGTTTAATTATTTCCTGAAAATGATCAACGATCACAGTTTGATGTCTAATACATAATCAATTAACTAATAGAAATCACAATTGACTCATTTCCATTGATTTAGCTCCAACAAATCAACAGGAATCAAATGGATAAACCAATTGAGTTGAAATTCTGACATTTAGTTTTTCTTTCGGAAGATTTGACCCAATGGACTTACCCGTTTAAGGCCACCAAATGAACCAAGTGGATTGGGAATGCTGAACGGAGGCATTTGAAGGTAACGATTAACTTTGAGGGAAAATGATTCAGATCCAATGTAAGGCGATGAAACAACACCGATATATGATTGGAAACTTTTCTGAGCAACTTGATTAATCTGATCTTTTAGGAGACCTTTAGATTGGTTGAGAGAATTGGATTAGAAGAGATTAATTTTTATTAGATAATCTCTTACCTTTGAAATAGATTTGTGGTTCTTGGCTATTGTAATGTTCAACATCTACTCCCACCACGAAATATTGTCCACTCTCGAGTAAACCTTTCTCTTCGAGGCTCATCATAAATCCAAGATGCTCATAATAATGACCTACAACAACATAGACTAAGGGATAGATCAAGATTTTAATTTAGATTAATTGATCTTACAAAATTGGAGGAAAATCAATCAACTAATTGGACAATTAATTTTGATTATTGACTTACTTCTTGTGTGTCGATAGGATCGTTCAACAAGGTCACTGAAAGGATTATCAGTATAACCATAATGATAAGTTGTTGTCCATCTACTGATAAATTGAACCTCAATTTTATTCGCAGCCAAAGTTGATTGAACTGTTCGAGCAACGGCCTCGAAGTTTCGTTCATCAGATTCACTTTGAGAGTAAAGAAGAGCAACTTTATGCCAATTGAATTTGAGTAAAACGGAGGCCACTGATTTGGATATTTGAGTGTCGGGAGGTCGAGTTCGAGCAAATGTCGGGAATAACTGTTTATCCGATGTTCCAGGATGGGTACAGAACTATTATTTCCAAAATAACATAAGAAAAACATTCCAATTATAATTACATTTAAATCAAATGAATTAACTACATGAATCATGATCAGAATAACAAAAGAGAAAGCATCAATTTATTGACTCTTAATTGGAATCAATTTTTTAATCTTTGTTTATTTTTGTCCTTTTCTTACATCAATTGATTGTCGACCATCAACTAATTGTTATCTAAGGTTAAAAAGGTGATGGATTAACATCAAGGTAATAACAATAATCAAAAACAAGGGTAAACAAGGTTAAGTACCAAGAAATAGTCTAGATGGTTAGTTACCTTGATTAAGGTAGATAATGAAAAGTATAATTAAAACAATCAAAAGAAATCAATAGATAAACTTGACAAATTCTCACATTTAGTTTTCTATTGATAAATGTATTACAATTGATTTGATTTCTTCATCTCTTGAGTATCTAAAAATAATCTCAACTAATCAACAATAATTAACGAGCTCACCATCACTTGACAATTACTATTATCCTAATCAATGAGCATCGTTTAAAAAAAACTAAATCAATTTTTTTTGCACACTAATCAATTGACCCAAAGTTAATTATTTGTCCATCAGAAAAGGTAAACTTGACAATCCTCAGGTAACAAAGAGAAAACCAAATTCACTTTGATTTCTCACTTTTCCCTCTCTTTACCTTTATCCTCTCTCTCTCTCTCTCTACAATATCTTTCTTTTCTCTTGAACCATGAAAAGAAAGAGAAAAATACAAAGAAACAGAGTTTCTATTTTCTTTCTCGTAAAAAAATTAAAGGGAAAAGCGTCAAAAGTAAGAGGAGAAAGAGAGTAAATGAGGCCCTTGACCTTGGCCTTTGTTACTTTTCCATTTTCCTCTCTAGTGGTAATGGCGGTGGGTCTTTTCTTGACCTTGAAATGATATAACAACAACAACACTCATCTCAATACACTTACATTAACTGTGTCCATCCCACAAGAGTGACCAATAAGTTACAATACTTGATTGTTAATATTGACGACAAACAATTAATAAACACTGATGGTTATTATTTGTTCATAAACTGTTGATATTATTGTCAAAATCTCTGGTTGTGTAGTAACATTAATGTAAAAAACGTTAGTGGTAATGTGATTTTCTGGTTACATTTTCTGGTTCACTTCAGTTCCTAACAATTTACACTTATCATGTTTTTTTAATGTGAGTTTTTTTGCTCAACAACCAAGTTAATCAATTTTTTTTTGTTTCTTCGCATGTTGATATTGATTTTCACGTATTACATTGGATCATTTCAGTTACGTACAATTCAACTAATCAGCACAGTACAATCAACTTTCTCTTTCTTGTATTCACCATCTTAATCTCATGTCATTTCATTTCAATCTTCATGATGATCAACATTGACAACAAAGTTGATTATTTGTCCACCAAAATTATCATTTGTTTACTTCCTTTTCCTTTTCAATCAAATCATCTTCAGAAAAGGGATAATCTTCAGATAATAAATTGACCACTTTACCTTTGACCTCTTTTCTCTTCAAACCTGAATATCGATAAGTAGGTGAGATGAGTAATGAATGAATGATAACAATTTATTAATACTTACATAGGATATCATTGGAAGGTTAAACGAAGCCGCCATTCGAGCCTCATGGACACAAGTCTCTTGAGGTCCAATATAAGCAGAAACATTGACCTCAGCCCACAATTCAGCTGTTAGCCTGATACTTTCAGATTCATCGCCAAAAGTTTCAGCGACAATAAAATCAAGAGTATGATTAGCAATCAATGGATGGTAATTACTTATATCGTGAATGGCTAAACTGATTGCACCGGAAATTGTTATTCCAGGTCTCGGATATTTCTCATCACCGGGTCGACGTCTACTTCCGGTTATATAACCAATAACATGTTTCTCACTTGAACAATAATTCATCATAATCATTGTAATCAACACAACACATTTAATCTTAATCCTAATCCAATGATTGTCCACATTAACCATTTTCAATCATGTAACTTTAATCAACACAATATTAAGTATCCGAATGGATTAATCAGATTGATTATGACATGAGAAATCACTTGGGAAATTGATCAAAAAAATAATCAACTAATTGTTTGTCTAAAGAGAAACATTATTTTCACTTTGATAACAAAATTTTTAATCATTTTCGTTGAACTTGAATATTATTGTTCACTGTTGCTACGAAATGAAATGCTACTGGTCAGTGGTCAGTTTTCTGTGAAAGTTCATCATGAATGTGTAAGATTGATGATAAACAATGGTGATAATGATGATTAGGATGATAAACAGAGTGTATAATAAATATGAATCTCGCAACACTTGCAATTCACACATAGAAACATTTACTTTGCATAATAACAATGATAAACTTGAGATGAGGAAAGATAAGTTTTTCTAGGGAAGATAAAAGTAAATATAACTAGAACTTTACTGGGAAGATGAAGATAAGGAGGAAGATAAAGATGACGAGAGAATTATTTTGCTCTCTCTATATATAAATTGTATTCTCAAAAAGAGAGAGAGAGAGACAAATAATACCCTTAATAATAATAAAGTAGCGTTCAAACTGAATGAATACCCTTATAGTCAAACATTGAGAGTTATTCATTTTTTCTGTCTGTCTTTTTACTTTTCTGTCTATTTATCTTCTTCCTACTTGTTTCTCTTCACATTCTCTATAGCAGATTCTTGCCCTCGATTAGAAAGGATTCCCAGTGAGCTTCCACTCCCAGGGAAAACTTTTTGTGGAGAACTCTCTCTCTCTCTCTCTCTCTGTCTATCTTCATCTTTTCTTATCTTCTCTTTAACTCATTTTTTTCTCTCTCTCTCCATCATCAACATTCAGTCAGCTTCATGATTCTGTTGCTTTGAAACAGTCAAAACTATTACTATTATCATCACTTTAATACTAATCTGATGATAATGTAATTGTTTTGATCTAATGAGGGTATGAGGGTATTTTAATGTTTATATCAATATAAATATGAAACTTGTCAAATAACTTGAAAGGTTATTGAATCTCAATATTATTAACACAATGTATCACATTAGCCTTATTTTCAATCTTAAACACAATATCATTCAATCAACCGATACAATATATTAATACTAGGAAAAAATGTTCTTATTATTCAAATTAAATTATATCAATTTTCATTCAATTTATTTGGATTAATTAGATTATCTTGAGACGAGCTTAATCTGTGCTAAGCTAATACCCAAGACTTTGTAATAATAATTGGATAGAGAGAGAAAGAGAGCCAGACTGATTCAGAAAAGAGCAAATTTCATGGGTGAATTAAGGTTACAATTTATCAAAGTGTTCATTGTAATTAGCTCATGAAGAATTCAGAATTTACCATGAAAAGCATATTATTCATGTAAATATATTAAGATATGCAAATGATGTAAAGATCAAGTTCCCGCAATTTTCATGTCATGACAATCTAAGATTTACATTAAATGGAAAGTCTTTTAGTTTCAATAATTAATATTTGTGAGAAATTAATTTGAACACGATGATTATCGTTACCATGAGCATCTTACGAATAAAAAATTAACCGTGAGAATCAGTTCAACATTTAATTGCATTTCTATGAGAGCATAATGAGAATGAGAAAATAATACAAAGATAACATGATGAACAAAAGGAAAACCTGGAAATTTATCTAATAACAATTAGAGATCAATCTGAATGTTCATTGAATCAGAGAAAGAATCAATTTACCTTCGTAAGAAACACTGGGGAGGTTCGAATGTAGACTCGAACCTGTAGATTTTGTGAAAATTAACCTTTCAGAAGATAACGAAAAGGAAGAAGAGAAAAGTCTATCCAAGACTATGGAAGATTAGAAATAAGAGGAAAAGACGACGAGAAAAAAGGACATTGAACTATTATTATTCTAAAGGTGGGAAGAGTTTCGATTCCTGTAAAGTTCAAGACTCACTCGAAAAGATGATGTTTGAATGATCTTCTATTACGATGGTGACACTGACACTCATTGTATTCTACAAGTATTATTGAACCTTAGATGATATTATCCAAAAGAATTATTTATCTTAAGAATGAATTAGAAAGAAGAAGAAAAAATGTTAACATGTTTCCTTCATGAATCTATTGAATTTCATGGTAACGATATTTTCACTTCCTTTTTCCCCTCATCATTTTTGGTGACGTTTCTATGTGTCAAATGCTTTTGTTATCGCCAAACAACAATAGTAACTCTATCAGTTCGTATGAAATGAAATAAAGAAAATAATTATAATACAATGTACTGCGATGATTTTAATTGCTAAGTAGATATTTAATAAACATAGTGAATAATCAGCCTCATGATTTAGTTGGACTTTTCGATTCATTCAAGTCAGTCGATTTTTATTCATCAATAAGAGTTGGAAGTGATTTCCAGGTTTTATAAAAACAATGTTTCATGAAATCCAATCCATAGCAAATTAGTTCGTGAGTCTCCACCAATTTAGGCCATTCGGTGGTTTCGTTCTTGCAACTGTAATAAATTACAATTGATCGATTCTCGTTGACACAAAATTTGGACAGAAAATCAGCTGATTTGTGGTTCACATTCTTGAATCCTCTCAAGTCCAATAACTTCAACTCAGGTAATAAATTTATCAATTTTTCTACATTACTATCATCGAGCTGATCAATATGTCTGATCGCTAGATGATGTAAATTAGGAAATTTAGACAGCACTTTTTTAAGTAGTGGCCACGAAAGTTTACTAGACTGAATCTAAAGAAAAAAAATTAATAATAATCTTCTAAACATTTATAAATCAATGATTAACTTACATTCTCGATAACCATATCTCTTAAATTGTAATTCTTTATCGATTCATTTACATAAATATCCTTTGCCCGGTAACCAATGAAAGCGCTTTCCAAAGATGGGCAAAAATCCATTAAATGGAAACCGGTGAATCGTTGAACCAAATCGTATGTACTAAGTTCAAGAATCTTTAACGAAGACAAATTCGGGCCATTGAATAAAACACCAACTTAACCCAAATTTTCACACATTGGTGATACTTCTGGCGTTTTATGACCTTGTCAAATAAAGAGCAACTCTTTTCTAGAAAAAAGCAAAACATTGGCCAAGATACAGTTCGATGGTGACTTTAGTCTTTGTTTTAGTTTCCCTCCGTTTTGAAATTTTTTGTGCTTTTTTATCAATATGCCTCAGTTATCTAAAGAAGTGAAAAAATTAATAATCGAAGCTCATCGAAATGATAAAAATAGTTCCGAAATCGCGAAAATATTCAACACTAAACCAGGAACAGTTAGATCAATTATCTCTCGTTTCAACAAATCAGGTACATTAGAAAGGACAAAGACAAGGAAGAGGAAATTAAGTGATGAGATTGTGGAAGTGATCAAAGAATGGGTTGGTGTTAATTGTCAACTTACATTGGAAGAAATCAGGGATAAAATCGAGGATGAATTTGATATTAGTGTTTGTGTCTGAACTGTTTACTATTGTTTGGAAGGTTTGAACTTCTCGTTAAAAAGAGTTTCAATTGTACCTGAAAGGAGAAACTCGGAAGTGGTAAAAGATAATCGGAAACAATATGCATTGGACTTTCTTCGTTTGGAAAGAAATCGTGACAAAGTTTTTTTCATTCATGAAACAGGTATTGCTGTTCATGCTCGTCTGAATTATGGTTGGGCTTATAAAGGTAAAAAGGCTAATCTTAAAGTAGGTGCAGTTCGAGGAAAAAACTTTTCCATTTGTGCAGCAATGAACCATAAACAGTTATCCTTCTATGAAGCAAAGGAAGAAGCTTATGATTCGAATGCATTTGTCGATTATCTTAAACAATTTATTGATTTTCTCGAAACTGAAGGTCTAAGTAATGTTCACCTGATAATGGATAATGTTCGTTTTCATCATGTTACATCCGTCGAAGAAACTGTTCGAGCTGCCGGCCATTCACTCACTTTCTTACCCGCTTATTCACCTTTCTTGAACCCAATTGAAGAGCTTTTAATCAACTGAAACATTATGCTAAAAAATTTAATCCAAAAACAGTTGAGGATGTTTTTTATGCTATCAAATTAGCATCTGAAATGGTATCAGAACAAAATTGTATCAACTATTACTATCATATGCTCGAGTATATATCGAAATGTATTCAACAAGAAGAGATTCTCAATTAATGTTGCCTTTATTTTGAAAGGTGTTGCTATCTATTTGATAAAAAATAAACAAAAAAAGTTCACACTTTGGTGTTAAAATTTTGAGCAGCTAAGTGTTGCGATTTACTAGAAAAGCGTTGCTTTCTCACTGAAATGACTGTAATGAACCGATCGATGAGAAATTAACTTACTACTATCAATATTCATCGTTTGTAGGTATTTTACTCGATTAAATCTGAGCGTAATTAAATCGAACCATCTAGAACAAACTTTAGAATCAAGTGAAAGTAAATATGCATTAGAATTTCATCATCTTAACGGAATCTTAATCTTACCTTTAGATAATTGAATCAATTCTTCAAATTCATGAACATTTTCTAAGATTTTCAAAGACAATTATCAGGTAAATCGTTTAATGACATGATAGAAAATTATAATTCACTTATGATTGATTTGTAACCTATTGAAATTCACTACATTAGTGATAAATCAGCAAAATTAGTTTCCCTCGTGAAGAGCAGCTGATTAATTGTTAAGACAGAGCGCTTTTTTCGAATGAAAACCAATCAAAATTTGATTATCAAATATCGGATCTTAATTATTATTGATTGTGTGAGGCTCAAGACATCAATATAAGGAAATTAACTGATTGTTGTATTGGTTGTTTAATTTATTAAATTATTTCCCTAAAAGCCGCAAATTATTAACCGAATTTCGTAGCACAATCATTTTGGAAACAGGACATTGAAGATTATCTGTTAATCAAAGATTTTATTCGGTATCCGGAAGTGATTTCCAAGTCTTAAAAAACAATGTCTCATGAAATCAAATCTGTAGACAATTAATTTGTCCAGTGTCCAATGTCCAATGAGTGAGTGTCCAATTTAGGCCATGTATTTGGAGTGGATACCAAATTTCGTAGCACAATCATTTTGAAAAAAAACATTACAGGTCATCTCTTTAACAAAAATTTATTATCATTAAAATTAATTAATTATTAATTAATAATGAAAAATCATGAAATTTTGACATGGTTATCGTTTATAAAATGGCTGATTCTTATTGCTGATGATTGAAATTTGGATGACTTTCTGGTTGATTCGAGTCAATCGATGGTTTGAGAGGACAGATAATCAGTTTAAACTGACCTATTTCGGTGTTTGGTGATTTTGATAAGAAAAGCCAAGAACGAAACAAAAAATGAAATATGTGCCCACGAGTGAAGTAAAAGTTTCCTGCATCAAAGTTTGTTTCGATCTTCACTCATCAATGAGAAATGGAAGATAGCAGTGTGTTGATTTGTAGAAGCAATGTTTCATGAAATCGAATCCATAGCAAATTGGCTCGTGAGTCTCCACCAATTTAGGCCATTCGGTGGGTTCGTTTTTGCAACTGTAATAAATTGCGATGAATCGACTCTTTCTGAGACAATATTTGAACAGAAGATCAGCTGATTTTTGCGTCACTTTCTTACATTTCCGTAAGTCCAATATCTTCAACTCAGGTAATAATTCTATCAATTCTTTTAAATGAAAATTACTATCATCGAGCTGATCAATATGTCTGATCGCTAGATGATGTAAATTAGGAAATTTAGACAGCACTTTTTTAAGTAGTGGCCACGAAAGTTTACTAGACTGAATCTAAAGAAAAAAAATTAATAATAATCTTCTAAACATTTATCACTCGATGATTGACTTACATTCTCGATAACCAAATCTCTTAAATTGTAATTCTTTATCGATTCATTTACATAAATATCCTTTGCCCGGTAACCAATGAAAGCGCTTTCCAAAGATGGGCAAAAATCCATTAAATGGAAACCGGTGAATCGTTGAACCAAATCGTATGTACTAAGTTCAAGAATCTTTAACGAAGACAAATTCGGGCCATTGTATAAAACTCCGTCCGCTATTATAAACCGTAAAAATAAACATAATATATTAATCATATAAAACAATTGAAAGACAATTCAAGTTTAATCTCACCGTCAAGGAGTCCTAAGTGGAGTCGCTTCAAATTTGGAAAATATTCAATGAATGAAGGAAGATCACTCATGTAAAAATAGTTGAAGTGAAATTGTTTCAACTGATCAGGTCGAAAAACTTTTTTATAATCCCAATTATACCCTGGAGCGAACATTTCGATATTTTCCAAGTCATGAATGCTTCCGATGAAATTCAAATAACCAATTAATCCCTTTATTTGTGGATTATTTTTGACAATTTCTGATGTATTGAAAGATGCAATACCCAAAAAAGGTCCCATATCTATAACCTAACGTCAAATTAAAAAACAAAGCTACGTAATTTTGATTCAAAATATTCAATAATTACCTTAATATTCGGAAACAATCTGAATAAATTGAAAACATTCCAATTCGTATTAGGATTAATCCACAAACTGTTCGCATCGATATAATCAACCGCATCATCAACTAAAAAAATTGAAAACGGATTAATTGAAAGCATAAATCGAGCAATTAGAATTTAACTTACTATTCAACAAATGAAGATATTTTACTCGATTAAATCTCAGCGTAATTAAATCGGACCATCTCGAACAAACTTAAGAATCAAAAGTAAAAAAGCATTAGAATTTCATCATCTAAACTGAATCTTAATCTTACCTTTAGATAATTGAATCAATTCTTTAACTCCATGAACATTTTCTAAGATCTTCCAAAGACAATTATCAGGTAAATCGTTTAATGACATGATAGAAAATTATAATTCACTTATGATTGATTTGTAACCTATTGAAATTCACTACATTAGTGATAAATCAGCAAAATTAGTTTCCCTCGTGAAGAGCAGCTGATTAATTGTTAAGACAGAGCGCTTTTTTCGAATGAAAACCAATCAAAATTTGATTATCAAATATCGGATCTTAATTATTATTGATTGTGTGAGGCTCAAGACATCAATATAAGGAAATTAACTGATTGTTGTATTGGTTGTTTAATTTATTAAATTATTTCCCTAAAAGCCGCAAATTATTAACCGAATTTCGTAGCACAATCATTTTGGAAACAGGACATTAAAGATTATCTGTTGATCAAAGATTTTATTAATTGACTGAATGAAATGTTGAATGGTTATCGTTTATGAAATGGCTGCTTCTTATTACTGATGATTGAAATTTGGATGACTTTTTGGTTGATTCAAGTCAATCGATGGTTTGAGAGGACGGATAATCAGCTTAAACTGACCTTTTTCGGTGCTTGGTGATCTTGATAAGAAGCACCAAGAACGAAACAAAAAATGAAATATCGGGTGACCGAAAATGAGCGAGCATCTCAAGAATGGTAGGTCCTAGAATAAAGTTTCAAACGCCATTGAAAGCGCCATCGATCAAATATAAATGAGTAATTTTTTCAAAATTTTCGAAGCTCAAATGTGACTGTGGTTCTTATTTAAAGGCCAAAATCGCGATTTTCTCTATGAGAAATTTATAATGGGAAAGTTAAAGAGCAATTTTCGTTGATTTCGGCCATGTTGGATCTCAATAACCTTACTTCAGATAATGATGAGCTTAGGTATATAAGATAATAGGTCAAAAAGAATAACTTTTGACCAAAAATTTTGAGTCCAAAGTCAACCGTTCGCTTTTCAGGCCACTCGATTTCTCGAGAACCGTGCGTCCTAGAAAAAAAAGCCGAACATTTTTGGACTCAGTGTCAAATTTACTTTCTTAAAATGTATAGAAACGTGGGTCCAAAACTTAAGGTTCGTGAGATGCTCACTCATTTTCGGTCACCCGATATGTGCCCACGAGTGAAGTAAAAGTTTCCTGCATCAAAGTTTGTTTCAACTATTTATTCATCAATGAGAGCTGGAAGATGACTGAATTCTTTGTAGAAACAATGTTTCATGAAATCGAATCCATAGCAAATTGGCTCGTGAGTCTCCACCAATTTAGGCCATTCGGTGGGTTCGTTTTTGCAACTGTAATAAATTGCGATGAATCGACTCTTTCTGAGACAATATTTGAACAGAAGATCAGCTGATTTTTGCGTCACTTTCTTACATTTCCGTAAGTCCAATATCTCCAACTCAGGTACTAATTGAATCAATTCTTCAAATTCCTGAACATTTTCTGAGATCTTCCAAAGACAATTATCTGGTAAATCGTTTAATGACATAATTAAAAATTTTAATTCACTTATGATTGATTTGTAACTTATTGAAATTCACCACATTAATAATTAATTAAACTGACCTATTTCGGTGTCTAGTAATTTTGATAAGAAGCAACAAGAACAGGACAAAGAATGAAATATGTAACCACGAGTGATATGAAAGTTTGCTGCATCAAATTTTGTTGCGATTTTTATTCATCAATGAGATCTGGTAGTCATTTGTATTTTTTTTAGAAACAATGTTCCATGAAATCTAATCCACAACAGATTTGATCATAAGTTTTTACCAATTTAGGCCATTCGGTGGGTTCGTTTTCACAATCGTAATATCATCAAGCTGATAAAAATATCTGTTCGCTAGATGATGCAAATTAAGAAATTTGGACAACAAGTTTTTAAATACTGGCCACGAAAAAAAATGAGAAATAATCTAAAGAAAAAAATTTACGAAAGCGATCTAATCGTCCATAAAACTTGCGATAAAATGAACTTTCGTTTTTCACATCGAAACATGATGGATGCTCAATCGTATATTTCATTAATCAACTATAACTGCCATGAATCATCAATAATACATAAGATCTGAAATTCGATGGATTTTCATTCGAAAAAAGCGCTTTGTCTTAACAATTAATCAGCTGTTTTTCACATTGGAAACTAATTTAAAATTTGAAATTTTGTTGATTAATCATTATTAATGATTCATTAATGTAGTGAATAATTCATTGTGAATTTCAATAAGTTACAAATCAATTATAAGTGAATTATAATTTTTAATTATGTCATTAAACGATTTACCAGATAATTGTCTTTGGAAGATCTTAGAAAATGTTCATGGAGTTAAAGAATTGATTCAATTATCTAAAGGTAAGATTAAGATTCAGTTTAGATGATGAAATTCTAATGCTTTTTTACTTTTGATTCTTAAGTTTGTTCGAGATGGTCCGATTTAATTACGCTGAGATTTAATCGAGTACAATATCTACAAACGATGGACACTGATAGTAAGTTAATTTTTCATCGATCGGTTCATTATTTTATTAATACTTGTTTCCAATTTTTTTAGCCGAAGATAAAGTTGATTATATTGATGCGAACAGTTTGTGGATTAATTATCATACGAATTGTAATGACGATTGGAATTTAATCGAATTTTTTCCAAATTTAAAGGTGATTTATGCATTTGACCGCAATCATGTTGTTTTCTAATTGTTTTTAAATCTGACGTTAGATTATAGATACTGCGCTTGATGAAGCTTTCAATTTACCAGAAATTGTCAAAAATAATCCACAAATAAAGGGATTAATCGGTATGCATACCTTGAGTAGATGCGGTTACTTGGAAAATATCGAAATGTGCGCTACTAGATTTAATTTCGATTATAAAAAAGTTTTTCGACCTGATCAGTTGAAACAAGTTTCCGCTCTCTGGTTAAAAATGAAAGATCTTCCTTCATTCATTGAATATTTTCCAAATTTGAAGCGACTCAACTTACACCTCATTGGTGAGATTCAACTTGAATTAATCTTCTTATTGGATTAAATGGTTAACTCTTTTCACGATCTATTATAGCGAATTACTATTTTTACAATGGACCGAATTTGTCTTCGTTAAAGATCCTTGAACTTTGTACAAACTGCTTTGCTGGAAAATTTAATGGATTTTATTTTATGGACTTTTGTCCATCTTTGGAAAGCGCTTTCTTCCAGTGTTGGTCATATGATATTCATGTAGATGAGTCGATCAAGAATTACAATCTAAGAGATTTGGTTATCAATAATGTAAGTCAATTATCGAGTTATAAATGTTTATGAGATTTTTGTTGATTTTTTTCTTTATTCTTTTGATTCAGGCTGGTTTTATTCACGTGGTCAGGAATGTAAGTCAATCATCGAGTGATATGTTTATAAGATTATCATTTATTTCTTTTCTTTACATTCAGTCTAGTGAACTTTCGTGGCCACTACTTAAAAAACTGTTGTCTAAATTTCCTAACTTGCATCATTTAGCGATCAGACATTTTGATGTTAGTAATTCTGATTTAGAAGAATTGATAAAATTATTAACTGAGTTGGATATATTGGACTTACGGAAATGTAAGAAAGTGACTCAAAAATCAGCTGATCTTCTGTTCAAATATTGTGTCAAAGAGAATCGATCAATCGCAATATATTACGATTGTGAAAACGAACCCGTCGAATGGCCTGAATTAGACACTACTCAAGAATCAATTGTGCACGGATTCGATTTCATGAAACATTGTTTTTACAAATCAACAATCTACTGTGTTCCATTTCTCATTGATGAATGAAGATCGAAACAAACTTTGATGCAGCAAACTTTCATCTCACTCGTGGTTACATATTTCATTCTTTGTCCCGTTCTTGGTGCTTCTTATCAAGATAATCAAACACCGAAATAGTTCAGTTTAATCTCAAAGTCATAAAGTCGCTCAATTGAATCGCTCAATTAAAATTATCTGGTAAAACTCGGCGAAATATTTTGCTCTTTTTAATGCCAGAAAAAAATGATTTTCGTTCACAAAGCGAAATTCAGACGGACTTTTGGCCTACCGAAAGGTCATTTTCGAACTTCATGTCAAACAAATTCCCATGGTCTCCCAAGTTCATATCTGCGATCTGATCTTGCCAACGACTCTCCGTTCTCAAGTTATTTCGAAAACAAATCTGTTAATTTAACGTAATCGCCCTGTAGATTGTTGAATTGATTGTTTAACTGATTGAATTATTTTTCGAAAAGCCGCGAATTATTAACCGAATTTCGTAGCATAATCATTTTGAAAAAAAACATTACCGATCATCTCTTAATAAAAGATTTTATTAATATATCATGAAATGTTGACATGGTTATCGTTTATAAAATGGCTGCTTCTTATTGCTGATGATGAAATTTGGATGACTTTCTGAATGATTCAAGTCAGTCGATGGTTTGAGTGGACGGATAATCAACTGGTTAGGGCGAAAAACTATTTTATAAAACTAAAGAGTCCAATCAATCCTTTTACGTTTGGATTATTGTCTTAAATTTTCTCAAAATATCAGGTCGAATATTAATACAATAATAGGACGACACCTCTATGATCTATTATAAAATTAGAAAACAATTAGAAAGCAACATGGTTTTGATTAGGAGATTCATTAATAACCTTTAGATTTGGAAAAAATTCGATTAAATGGTAATCTTTCCAATCTGTATCATGATTAACCCTCAAACTGTCTCCATCAATATAATCAACTTTACCTTTGAATTGAAAAATTGGAAATAAAAAAATTAAAATTGTAAATGGAAATTAACTTACCAGCCACAAACCGAAGATATTTTACTCTTTAAATTTCGGCGTAGTTAAATCGGACCATTTTGAACAAACTTAAGAATCCAGGGAAAATAAATGAGCTTTCAAATTTTATCATCTTAACGGAATCTTAATCTTACCTTTGGACAATCGAATCAAATCTTTTGCCTCATGAACATTTCGCAAGATCTTCAAAAGACAATTATCTGGTAAATCGTTTAATGACATAATTAAAAATTATAATTCACTTATAATTGATTTGTAACCTATTGAAATTCACTACATTACCGGTCATCCCTTTATCAAAGATTTTATTAATTCACATAATGAAACGTTGACATTATTATCGTTTATGACTGCTTCTTATTGCTAGTGATTGAAATTTAGATGGCTTTTTAGTTGCTTCAAGTCAGTCGATTGTTGAAGAGGAGGGTGAACTAGCTTAAACTGATTTGTTTTGGTGATTTTGATAAGAAGCAACAAGATTAGGACAAAGAATGATTATGTAACCACGAGTGAAATGACAGTTTGCTGCATCAAAGTTCGTCTCGATTTTTATTCATCAAGATTTATAGTGAATAATAAACCTTATGATTTATTTAACTTTTTGATTGATTAAAGTCAGTTGTTTTTTATTCATCAATGAGATCTGGTAGACATTTGTATTTTTTGTAGAAACAATGTTTCATGAAATCTAATCCACAACAGATTCGATCGTAAGTTTTTACCAATTTAGGCCATTCGGTGGGTTCGTTTTCACAATCGTAATATATTGCGATTGATCGATTCTCTTTGACACAAAATTTGGACAGAATATCAGCTGATACGTGCGTGGAATTCGTACATCCTCTCAAGTCCAATATCTTCAACTCAGGTAATAATTTTATCAATTCTTCTAAATTACTATCATCAAGCTGATAAAAATCTCTGATCGCTAGATGATGTAAATTAGGAAACTTGGACAACAAGTTTTTAAATACCGGCCACGAAAAAAAATGAGAAATAATCTAAAAAAAAAATCAACAAAAATCTTATAAACATTTATCGCTTGACGATTGACTTACATTATCGAAAACCAAATCTCTTAAATTGTAATTCTTTATTGATTCATCTACATAAATATCTCTTGCCCAATAATGGATGAAAGCGCTTTCCAAAGATGGACAAAAATCCATGAAATGGAATCCCGTGAATTGTTTAACCCAATCGGTTGAATCAAGTTCCAGAATCTTCAACGAAGACAGATTCGGTCCATTGTAAAAAACTCCGTCCGCTATTATGAACCGTAAAAATATATTAATTATATGGAGCAATGGAAGATTAATTCAATTTGAGTCTCACCTTGAACGAGTCTCAGGTTGAATCGCTTCAAATTAGGAAAATATCTAATGAATGAAGGAAGATCATTCATATCAAAATTGTAAACGTAAACTTGTTTCAACTGATCAGGTCGAAAAACTTTTTTATAATCGAAATCATGCTCCAAAGCGCACATTTCGACATTTTCGAGGTAACCATTTCTACTCAAGCCGCAATTACTCATATCTATATCTTTAAGAAGCAATCCCTTCATTTGTGTATTATTCTTGAAAATTTTTAGTAAATTGTGAGATGGATGATTGACAAAGAACACACCATCTATGATCTAATGTCAAATTAAAAAACAATTAGAAAACAATATAATTTTGATTTGAAAATTCATTAATTACCTTAAGGTTCGGAAACAATTCAACTAAATTGTAATCATTCCAATTCGTATTAAAATTAATCCGCAAATAGTTCACATCGATATAATCCACTTTACCTTAGACCAAAAAAAATTAGAAACAAGCATTAATGAGATAAATTATTTTAAATAATGAAGTTCATTAAATGAACCGATCAATCAAAGAGGGATAGAAAGAAAGAGCACTTGCCAAGTGCTACTTGGGTGTAATCATCGATAAGGTTTTATCTTTCCTTTTTACTCTTTGCGATCAATGAGAAATGAACTTACCATACATTATTTGCAGATATTTTACTCGATTGAATCTCGAATCTTGAATTAAATCGGACCATCTCGAACAAACTTAAAATCAAGGGAAAATAAATGAGCTCTCAAATTTCACCATCTTAACGGAATCTTAATCTTACCTTTAGACAATCGAATCAAATCTTTGGCCTCATCGATATTTTCGAAGATCTTCCAAAGACAATAATCGGGTAAATCATTTAATGACATAATTCACTTATAAATTATAAGTAATGATTGATTTGTAAACTTGAAGAAATGCCGACAACTTATCATTGAAATTCAATAGCAACAATGATTCAATGAATCAGAATTTCTGATAATCAGATTGATCAGCTAAATTAGCTTTCTGAAAAAGAACAGCTGATTAATTATTGAGACAAAGCGCTTTTTTTGAATGAATAGAAATCGTAAATCGGATTTTAATTAGATTAAATCAGAATAGTTTAGGCCAATTGATTTACCTCTATGAATAATATAAGTTGCTCAAAATATTCACATCACTAGTTTTCGCAATGATCAATTCAAACATAAAAGTTGGGATCAAAATGAACTTTCGTCTTTCCCCCCAAAACATAATAGATGCTCAATCTTATATTTTATTAATCTCTCAAGTTGAAATTCTTTATTGAATAGTCAACATTTTCGGCCTGAAATTCACCAGAGTACACGAATGCGCTTTCTAAGGACGGACAACAATCAATAATTCGAAATCCAGAGCCAAGATTAGCTGATGGAAATTCAAGGATCTTTAAAGGATGGTTTAATAGAACGGATAATCGGCTCAAACTGGACTGGTAATTTTGATAAGAAGCAACTAGAACGGTACAAAGAATGAAATATGTAACCACGAGTGAGATGAAAGTTTCCTGCATCAAAGTTTGTTTCGTTTTTATTCATCAATGAGATCTGGAAGACGGTTGAAAGCAGATTTATAAAAACAATGTTTCATGAAATCGAATCCATAGCAAATTGGTTCGCGAGTCTCCACCAATTTAGGCCATTCGGTGGGTTCGTTTTTGCAACTGTAATATAAAACAATTGATCGATTCTCTTTGACACAATATTTGGACAGAAAATCAGCTGATTTTTGTGTCACGTTCTTACATTTCCGTAAGTCCAATATCTTCAACTCAGGTAATAATTTTATCAATTTTTCTAAATCAAAATTACTAACATCAAGCTCATCAAAATTTCTGATCGCTAAATGATGCAAGTTAGGAAATTTAGACAACAGTTTTTTAAGTAGTGGCCACGAAAGTCTACCAGCCTGAATTTAAAGAAAAGAAATAAATGATAATCTTATAAACATATCACTCAATGATTAACTTACATTCTCGATAACCTCGGAATAAAAACCTGCCTAAATCGAAAGAATAGAAGAAAAAATCAACATAAATCTTAGAGACATTTATCATTTCATGATTGACTTACACTTGCGACAATCAAATCTCTTAGATTGTAATTCTTTATCGATGCATCTACATAAATATCTCTTGCCCAACAACGGAAGAAAGCGCTTTCCAAAGAGGGACAAAAATCCACGAAATGAAATCCGGTGAATTTCTGTTCAATAAAATCGGTTGTACTAAGTTCAAGAATCTTTAAAGCAGACAAATTTGGTCCATTGTAAAAAACTCCGTCCGATACAAAAGCACCTGAAAAGATATTGATCATATTAAACGATCGGAAGATTGATTCAAGTTGAATCTCACCTTTAAAGAATGGTAAGTGGAGTCGCTTCAAATTTGGAAAATATTCAATGAATGAAGGAAGATCATTCATATCAAAAGGAAGTGAACTTGTTTCAACTGATCAGGTCGAAAAACATCTTTATAATCGAAATGAAAATCTGAAGCGAACATTTCGATATTTGACAAGTCATAAATTCTTCCGATGAAATCCAAAATTCCAATTAATCCCTTTATTTGTGGATTATTTTTGACAATTTCTGATAAATCGAAAGATACATGATACATTAAAGATCCCATATCTATAATCTAAATTCAAATTAAAAACAATTAGAAAAAAACATAATTTAGATTCAAAAAATTCATTAATTACCTTAATATTCGGAAACAATTCGAATAAATAGTTATAATTCCAATTCGTATTAGGATTAATCCACAAACTGTTCGCATCGATATAATCAACTGCATCATCAACTAAAAAAATTGAAAACGAATTAATTGAAATCATAAATCGAGCAATTAGAATTTAACTTACTAGTCAACAAATGAAGATATTTTACTCGATTAAATCTGAGCGTAATTAAATCGGACCATCTCGAACAAACTTCAGAATCAAGGGAAGGTAAATGAGCTTTCAAATTTTATCACCTTAACGGAATCCTAATGATCTTACCTTTAGACAATTGGATTAAATCTTTGGCTTCATGGACATTTTCTATGATCTTTAAAAGACAATTATCAGGTAAATCGCTTAATGACATAATTAAAAATCACAATTTACTTATAATTGATCTGTAAACTTGTGGAAATGCTTAAAACTTATCACTTAAATTGAATAACATTAACGATCCATTAATCAGCAAAATTTCAAATTTTAAATTAGTTTCCCTCGTGAAAAACAGCTGATTAATTGTTGAGACAAAGCGCTTTTTTCAAATGAAAAGAAAACAAATATCAGCTTTTAATTAGATTAAAGCAGAATAGTCTAGGCCAATTGATTTACCTCTATGAATAATATAATTTGCTCAAAATATTCATATGAGTTTGCGCTACGATTAATTCGTACATAAAATTTGGGATTAAAAATGAACTTTCGTCTTTCAAATCGATCCTTTTTTGATCACCTGTGACTCTATGTGGAACTTTAGTTTATGTTAGTTTTTTAGTTCGACCGAGAACTGGCCTAGACTCGGCCATGTTGGATCCTGAGAAACTTATAAAATTAGCACCATGCAGATATTTAACAAAACATATAGTAAACAATCAAATCATTTGATTTTTATTCTTCAATGAGATCTGGAAGACATTCGTAAGTTTTGTAAAAACAGTGTTTCATGAAATCGAATCCACGGAAAATTGAATCATATGGTCTCATTGATATTTTCGAAGATCTTCCAAATAAAATTATCAGGTTAATTGTCTAAAGACATAATTGATTTGTGAACTTACGGAAATTCCGATAACTTATCATTGAAATTGATTCAATTTGTTAGTGATGCTACATCACAAAGTAACAAAGGCGTAGCTTTGTTACTGAGTAGTTCAGAAACTACCCCAGGCTTATTAAGCAATATAAAGAAACATTGACATTATCATCGTTTATAAAATGGCTGCTTCTTATTGCTAGTGATTGAAATTTATATGGCTTTTTAATTGATTAAAGTCAATCGATTGTTATAGTGAATAATAAACCTTATGATTTATTTAACTTTTTGATAAATTAAAGTCAGTTGTTTTTATTCATCAATAAAATCTGGTAGACATTTGTATTTTTTGGTTTTTTCGGCTAATTTTTTTCAGCAGCGGCGATATTTGCTTCCATCTAGGTTTCTTTTCACCTTCCGGGGTAACCAATATTCTTTGGTATATACCAATCAGCTTTTGCTCGATTTTATGGATGTCTGTTTTTGGCATTTCTTTCATTTTCTGCGTTCTTTAGCTCTAAATCTAGCTTTCTGGTTTTTTGTTAAACCTTCATGGTAACGCTGTAAAGAAAAATTCATTCCATTATGAACAATCAAACTCAAAATTTTTGGAAAACCTAACCTTACCTGGCTATCCATTATTAGTATCTTTAGAATTATAAAAACTCAAGTAAATATAAATACGTATAGAATTCCTATTGAAGAGAAAAAGAATATAAGAAATGTATGAATTAAACCAATATATAAATGTAGTAATAGATACAAAATTAGCTTATCACACAAGACTCAAAGACAAACTTGAAGGTCATCACAAAAATCTAATGAATGCTTTGAAAAAGAAGATTGATTAACTTACACTATGGAAACTCAGTATGGAAATTTTTTGTTAACCCTCGGCTGCTACTCTCTGAAAAAGTAACAACAAAACTACTCTATTGACAAAAAAGTCCAAAAGTTTTGAAGCAGTAAAACCATAAAGTGGCAATACAATAAAAAATTTTATTGCCCTAACCTTTGACCTTTTTTGTTTTTGTCATTTTCGGTCAGTTTTGTTTTTCTCTTCAAACTTGTTGGTTGTTTTCTTTCGTTTTTTGTGTTTTCCTTTTTCAAGTTATTTTGTATTCTTTTATCTCATTGTTCAATTTTCATACAATAATGGAATTAATAAGTACTTGTGGTGTGATTGACCAATATGATGCTTTTCTTGATGCTAATATTGATGAAGTTCATCCAATTAATAGAAAAGGAAAAAATTAAATGAACCTGATTATCATTATATTGCCATAAGGATATACCTGTTTTTCGGATTTATACCTGTGATAAGTGATATTTTCCAATTGGATAAAAACCGTATTAAGGATTTATTTTGCTTCATTCGTTTTGCTCACGGTGATAAAAATTTCGACAACAATATTAAGAGATTTAAAACTTTCATCCATCGTAAGTGGCTGCTAATAAATACCTCATTTGATGAAATTCAAAGTCATCTTAGCATCCTTGTTCTGTTATCCAAAATCAACTTGCCACAAAAATATATGACTTTTATGGGACAAAGTTTTTGATAAAATCAATAGCAACTATTAATTTTGTACATGTTTTCAAACTTGAATCATCGACAGTGGAAATAGTTTTGAAGATGGGATCGCATCAACCGAAATTCAATTCCTAAAAAAACTTGATCATGACAATATCGTGAAATTAATCAGAGATGAAAAAGAATACGGTAATGATTTTGTTTTTGTCGATTTTTGTGGCCAATCACTTACCAATTTCATGGGAAACAAAAGTGATCGTTTATCCTTGAAAGACATTAGCTGCTTGATGGTTCAGTGTATAAAAGCACTCGATTATATTCACAACAAAAAAATAATCCATAGAGTTTAAAACCATGTAACCTAACAGTCGATGCCCGGAAGATATTGAAAATTATAGACTTTGGTGGAGCTTTTAATGTCGGTGAAGAAGATCCTGGCTATTACACATTTTGATTAAAAAATTAATTTCAATTTTTTAATTAATTTGTGTTTGATTTTTTTCCTGATCAAATTAAAAACTGTGCGATGATAAGATTGATTTTATATTGTTGTTCAATCATTAGTTGAGGATAATAAATTATAGATTCGTCAAAAACTATTGCCACTTTTGATTAAAAAATTAATTGATCCCTGTATCAAAATTATGAGTTAAATGCGAGTTGCACCGCATGAGAAAAATAGGATG